ATTATAATGCAGATTGGTATCTGAGCAGTAAAAGAAAAGCCTGATCGTTTCCACAGTGGAAAAGTTCAGGAATGTCTCTTCAAGATTGTGATGTTGTTGCAACTTGTTTGCTTACCCCATTAATCAGAATGATAAAGTGGCAACAGGAGGTATGGCACTTGCATCCAGAATGTCTGCCTGATATACACTCATGATTGATGCAGTTCATTTTAGAGAAGTCTGGAAGAGAGCAGCATCAAGCAGACAGACTATTGCGACTGGAAAGAGAGATTCTATCATAAATTCTAATTCAGTGAAGAGAGAGTTGTTTGCCTGCTCAGAGGTTTTTCCTTAGCATGCCAGATTCACATAGTCATCTTGCCAGGAGTCAGGACATCTTTCAAAATAAAGTTTTATGCAGAACTGTGAAACAAAGGTCCCTTCCGTGATTAGAAACCTGTGCTCTTCCTCTAATTCAAATTGCTGAAAAACTGTTTTTAAGGGAGCTTATAAGACAAACTACAAAAGTTTAAGATAGTATTTTTATGGCTACTGCTCTCCACAGGTAGTATGGTCTGATTAGAATAAAGGTTTTGTTTGACAAAAGTTAGATGGGAGTTTGCTACATACTTGCAACTTCCAAATCTACCAAACCTGAAGATAATTACAGACAAGGTAAAAAAAAAGTCACATGTGTTAAAGTCTACATGAAGCATTTTAAAATCCCCCCTTCCTCTTCTTTTTTTTTTTGACATCTTTTGTCAGCAGGGTGTTGTAGAAGAGTTAACAATAAACATACGAGTGTCTTCAGGTATTTTCTGCCAAATCATATTTGTTTGTCAATTTGTATAAGAGCCACCCTTACTGGTGTGTATCCATGTGGGGACCTTCTGAACAAGAGAGTAGCTATAATATGTCAAGGCTCAAGCTGGCTCTCAAAAATTAGGGTGTTGCCTCTATTGCAAGAATACCCTTCCCGTAGAAGATGAAATTATAATTCTAAATCACTGTATAGCGTTGCAAATTAGATGTATGATGAGACATCATATATGCGATAAGAAGATTGTTGTTTGTTGATGGTTTAATAGCCTTTGGGATGACGGCGTGAGAATGAGACAAACACATTGATTAAGGTTGTTATCAGATAGCATTATATAGAGATTTTGATAGCAGAAAGCAAGAACAGGCAATATTAGTTCTTAAAACAGTTCCTGCAGCTGTTATTGATCATGCTGATAATGCATGATATAAGATCCTTGCAGTTTGAAGTTGCCCATAAAATGGGCAGTTCATAATTTGAATCTGAAAATGTAGCTTTCTTCTGAGGCTGTGGCAGCATTACAATCTAAGAGCTGCTGAAGGCTCTTTAGCAAGATCGGAAGGGAAGCGGATGGTGCTTGGAGCTAGCACTCCTGTGTTGCCTGTGGACAATTTGTTGAAACCAATTTTCTGATTTTAGTAGAAGCAGCTCAGCAGCCTGCAGCTCTGGCTTTTCCTCGGGGCTCATTTTGTTTGATGCAGATAAACAAGGGACAGCAAGTCCAAGGCAGCTGAACTTGAACAGGGATCATCAAATCAGCTGTTGGTAACAAAGCAGTGTGGAAGTACCTAAGGCTCAATGAAAATAGTATCAAACTGCTGTATGTACGTTTTTTAAATCTAAAAAATGCATTTCTCGCATTCCCAGGCAACACATTTTCAAAAAGACTGCAGGCAAAAATACCTGCTTTAGTATAAATTGTAGGTATAGAGGTTGACAGTGATTGCCATCTTGTGTACAGTGATCTTCCATGAAATGCTCAGTACCTGCTTTGACTCACTTACAGCTGCCATAAAACTTGAAAATAATGTGAGCATCTCACATGAGGGTCTACTTTACTTAATAAAAGTGGAGCTGTACTCTTTAATTACACTAGTGAGTAAGACAGTGTGATTGGCTTGGTAACTGTGAATGAGAGTCTTGGAAGGTAAGTGCCCTCTAGGGATTCCTATTAGTTAGTCTCTTGCCAGGTATTGCAAGACATGGGAGGAGGGGTTAATTGATAGCTCAATTAAATCTCTTTTCTTAATATTAAGTGATTAGTTTGATATACCTTGCAGGTGCAGTATACAATACTGCTGTTTGTGGTAGCTACTTTCTACTTTTCTAGTGCTATATAAACAGCATATTAATTTTAAACATCAGTCATTTTACTACCGTCATCCACTTAATTTTTTTTTGAGGGCTGATAATCCCATATAATGAGTAGTTTGTGTAGCATAACAGTCTTTTAGCTATTTAGTTTCTGTAATTAGTATACAAGCTTGTAATGCCAGATTATTAAATCTGTAACATCAATGCATGTTCTTTCTCACAAGAAAAGAAAATAAGTCCTTAAAAAATCGTCAAGGTAGGGTCTTCCTGCTTCCTCCTTCCTCCTTCCTGAAGCGTATGTAAGCGCAGCATTTACAAGAGCCCTTTAGCCAGCCTAAAGGGCAACTGGCAGTGCTGGCTTGTGGGTTCTGACACACCAGGCCTGGGTACAGGGAGAGCAGCCCTCGGGATCGCTGCTTCTGCGTGCCCGCTGTGCGTGCTCAGTGATGCTTGCCCTGCAGTCTCTCTGGCCTTCCGACTGCCTGTGTCTGCAACACTGCGTGGTTCTCCAGGTTGGATGGTTTGTGAGTGCAGAGTTGGAGGATGCAGACTGGCGGAGATCTCAGCTCTGTCTCCACGGATGGGTGCAGGGAGCATCAGTTAGCTCCTCCTTGGAGAGGCAGCCGCAGCACGGCACACCGTTTCACTGAAGCTGCTGTGGGTCAGAAGGCAAGCATACCAAACTGCTAAGTAAGTGATTACTGGTGTGTTGGGGAAGACCTGGTATTCTGTGTTTGTTCCTGGGACCACGGTGTCTGCATTGGCTTGCTCACCTTTCTGAAGAGATACATGTTTTCTGAAGATTTGGGATGTTACTGTTTTGCTTCTCTTCCGTCATTTGTCTTGCAACTATAAGCTTGAAATGTTTTGAATTTCTTCTCTAATGAAGTTATTTGGCAAATGCAGGTCTAATAGCCCTGGAAGTACAAAATGCATAGTCCCAGCTTGAGTCATAATAGTTTTTCTTTTAATTTTAAGCAGTGAACAAGACTCCAGAGTTGATGTATCTTTATTGAGAACGTCCCTATTAATAATGTTTGATATGAGTAAAGCGTCATTTTGGAAGTCTGCCATCGTTGTTTTAGAAGTAGCATGCAGACAAGAATGGATGTAGTTTAATAGTAGTGAGGTTAAATGATCCTGCAGTGGTCCAAAGATTTAGTGTTTGCTCCAATTTCTTCTGGAGTTTAGACCTTTCAATAAACTGACTTTTCCACAGTCCATTTCAAATTTCTTTCAGGTTTTCAGAGTTACTAATTCAGTTGTTAAAAGTGTATTTAGTAACCAAATCAAGGCAATTGTCAGAATAACCAGTACTGAAGTATTCTACTGGTGTCAGTAGTGACATAATCTTTATCCACGTTTTCATTAGTGCTTATGAGATGCAGAAAACAGCTATTTTATAACAGGGGCAGATGTGAAAATGATATAATGCCTTCTGGATCTAGGAATGCTAGAGATCCTTATTTTGAGTACAGATAATTCCGAAGATGGGTCTTACGGAAACTTGTGTAACTGCTTCCCTGAATAAACTGAGTTACTCGGATGTTTTTCTTTGAGATGCCATGTGCTGTCATTTCTGACAGTACAAGCTGTATCCCACTGTGGTACCGAGGACACTTGGTAGGTGTCAAGGTAGTTACTCTGTCTGGAGCAAAGTAGCAAAGTGTTGAGGCTATAGTGAAATATAATACAGACTACTCTAAGTTATGGTCATACTAAATATGTATTAAATCCTGGAAATCCATACTATTTATGGATGTATAGCACCTGCTGCTGTTTACCACAAATGAGACCATTTGTCTTGATCTTTGTTTTTTAAATCTTGATAATAGTGAAATGTGATGTCTCACCTGTAATACTGTATAATGATGTTTTAATGCTGACAGTAAATCTGTACTTGGCTTAATACTGTGAGATACGTGTTCAAGCTGGTTTATGTATGGGGTTTTACAGTAATGAAATTGTGTTGCTTGGTTGCATGCCACAAAATAAATTGCAACAAAGATCCATTTAAAATCCTCTGTTTCTCAGCCTTGGGAAGGAGGAAACAGCATCACTCATTCATGTAAGAAATCGTTTCCTCCAAACTGAGACTGGGCATAGAATTTGTTTCATAATAAAAAGCTTTTACAATAAACTGGGGACGGAGGGGAGGGGATTACTATTGTCAACTTCAAAAGCTTTCAGTTAAAATTCTTACAAATTTGCTATGGAGAAGTGTGTTGTTATTATTACTCTATTATTATGAAGCAAGGTGCATTACTGCTGAAGATGTGTATTTTGCAGGAAACTGCAAAATGCATTCAGTTTGCTCCACATGCCTTAACACAGTACAGAACATGTACTGCTACTTTTTTGGTGCAGAGCTGAAGACAAATGTTCCTGCCATGAGATAATGCATTATTTCTTGTACTGCAGTCTGCCTCTTGTGCACTTGTTGCAAGTGTACATACAAGCAGTTTTGTAGCCTGTGAGTATGCAGCCTGAACTGCATGAATTTGCTCATGAATTAAAAAAAAAAAATCTAGCATTTTTAAAATTAATTAAATTATAGCATTAAACAAAATTTTTTAAAAAAACCCCACAAACCCAAACAAAACAAAGTTGGGCCATTATTTAAATTAGCGTTAAATGATGAGCTTTTTATTGCCTTAGCAGACACCTGGATTCTTCTGCACCATAAGGAACATTTATTTGGATTGACAACAGGAAGAGCATACATGTATGGGCTGTGTATTTGTTAATTTGGCTGATCACAGAAGGGAAGTGTAACTTATCTTGATCCAATGTGTAAGAGAAATGAAGAGTACCTAAATGGCAGGAAGTGCATGACTTCAAATTTATGTGGCTCCAGTTCTTCATCTTGTTTTGTTTTACTTTGCAGTCTACTCCTTTACACCTAGCAGCAGGCTACAACAGAGTTCGAATAGTCCAGCTTCTGCTTCAGCATGGTGCAGATGTGCACGCAAAGGACAAAGGGTGTGTAAAGTGAATTGATTTATTATCTGTTTGCAGCAATGGTTTTGTATTAATCAAGATGAATAATTATTTCTCTGTTTCATGTTGCAGCGTTAATCTCAAGTAGTAGTAGAAGCTAAACTGTCGTATTTTTGCAGTAAGGATGGTGGTTACATAAGATACCAATAAAAAGTACACAGCAGTCAGAAATTTGGAATGATACGGTGTTCTCAGCCATACATTCTGAACTCTTAAGATGTTGATTCTCGTGGTGGTCTGATAGGAAGGCTTAGTCCTAACGTTGTAGAAATTGGGCCCCTGCTTAAAGGCATGAGGTTTGTATTCAGAGTCAATAGAGGTGAGATATTTAATGAGTGTGTGTTCTGTCTCCATCAGCAAACTTGAGGCACTTCCTAGATCATTTTCTGCTGAGCCCTGCCTAGTGTTAGAAGATATTTTAAATTAAAATCTTAGCTTCTTTCTTTTTCTTTTCTTTCCCAAACCAGTCCCAAGCATACCTAAACTCTTGAATATTGACCAATTGTAGCACTTTTGTCTGTACATTCACCCCTAATGGCTCTTTTGGTCAGAATTGTTTTGAAATGCATGATGACACATTATGTAAGTCAAAAAAAAACCACAGTAAAGCTGCATGTAATACCTATTCAGGTAGATCCAGCACTGTTAAGCAAGTTTTAGATATTTCACACCTTTCCGAAATGTCAACATTCCTGGGTAGAAAATTCCAGCTTAGATGCTTTAATGGGGTTTGAATGATCTACTTGGAAAGTATGAGAAGTGTGATTAAGTTGAACTTGAGCAGGAGGTGAGGAGGGGAAGGAAAGAAACAAAACCTGATACACTTACTTTGTATTAAACTTAAAGCCAGTACAAACATACTTAGAAATGTTTGACATCGCAGTAAGCTCCCACTTTTTTTAGCAGCATGGCACGTTTACAATCACTGTGGTGTTTTGTTTTTCCTTGCTGTGTCCTATTTATACATAATTTATAAATAAATAGGCTATAAATGTGTGTCATTTGTCATTCATGGAGCTAAATTAGGTTACAATGATTTTATAGACCTGTTAGATCTTTACAGTGGGGTCACTTCAGAGTGAGGAACTATACTGCATCTTCAAACTTCTAGTTACTCCTGAAGAGGACCACAGCCAAAGAAGCAGCTCTTTTTCCACTGGTCCTTTCTTTGCCTTACTGTCATTGTGCACAAAGTCACAATGTACTGGAAAAGAACAGATAAAGGGAGGGTGTGCTGCAGAAGTGGCCAGGTGGATTGCTGCTGTGACTCTTTGCTGATGAGATCTTGAAGGCCTCAGTCCTGTTAGATGACCAGTGTTTTGGAAGAGGGCAGGTTTTTTGAGCATGCTGTGGACTGGATACGCTCTCTGTCTGTCTCACAATACACCCATAAGTTGGAATTAAGAAAAACAACAATGGAAAATAACAGTTTGAAAAATTTCCTCGAAACAAATTGCCCTCTCCTTTGACAAGTGCAATGCTGCTTCTGAGACCATCTGCCTTAAAATTAAGTTTCCCCATTGTCTAGTACTTGCTGTCCTAATGCTATTTCAGTTGATTTTGCATTTCTGGGAATCATCTTTTGTGTTTTTCATAAATGGTGAAGGGTTAATTACTATTTTCAGTGTATTATACATCCTGATTTGTTGAGCCATAACTAGCCTATCTTGCTTGGCTTGAATTAAACTCATTTTGTCCTCTGTAATAGTTGTCCTCTTTGCATCTTCCTTTCCATGTGTGACTTTTTTATTACATCTTGTGCTTATGACTAGATCCCTGTTACTTACTTTGCTAGTGGCATTTTTAAGTATAGCTTCCAGTAATATAGCTGTACAAAAATTACAGGGACTCTTATAAGTATCTTGCACAGTTAAATATGTTGTATTGTAAAAAAATGGGGTAAAATCAGATCATTCCACAGTCTGGAGCAGCAATTTCAGTCTGCTTTCTATGAATATTTGTACATCTTCATAACGTACTCAGGACTTGTGTTAGTGTTATCTGGGGAGTTTTGCCTTTTGCATACCATTTTAAACAAACCAGAGTTCATATTTAGGCAGAAATAGAACACTGACTTCTCTTGGGCAAATTCAATGTGGAATGGGATGTTTTCCTCCCCTTAGTAGCTTCAAGAAAGATAATTTCAAAGCCAATTAATGCTAATCTTAGTGGCAGATTAAACATCTGTGGCTTGTTAGGACCAAAAAACCCACTTTAATGGTGATCTTAAGTAACATGTTGTTCTGGAATGTTAGATTTTTACATTAGTTTGTGAATCATAATTTTTAAATATTTAAGTATTTTAGATTTAATTTGATTTCTGTTTTTCTCTCAGTAGATAGAAAATTGTTCCTCCTTCTTTAAAAATTGCTGCTTAAATAGATTTGTTATTTGCCTTCTTCCATACAGTGGTCTTGTGCCTCTTCATAATGCATGTTCATATGGACACTATGAGGTTACAGAGCTACTGCTTAAGGTAAGCAGAAGGATGAAAAGGAATTACTTTTGATTTAGATGTGTTAGGTGAGATATGCACTGTTTATACCAGAGTAGAAAAAGAATATTTTTTTTTTTTTCTGTAGTGACTTGTTTCATACATACCCTGTATGTCATTTCAGAAGCTTGCAACTTTAGATCTTTCTGTGGTACAGCATATGTGGGGTTTTTTTTCCCTCCACCTAATTTCTTTGGACAGATAGTAGTGTTTCATTTATTTGAGCTTTTCTGTGGAAAAATCTGTTCTACTGAAAAACTAGCTCATACAGAAATTCCAGTTTCTTTTGAGGATTCAACAGTGGTTTTGTATATACAGGTATTTTTATAATAAATTTTTTGTGTGTGTGTTCATATATGAAAGACTGGAACCAGTTTTTATCATGAAATGAAAATCTAACTTTTTAATTGCTGAAGATGATTTCTTACGAATATGAGGCTTTCTTTGCTGTGCTAGCATGGTGCCTGTGTGAATGCTATGGACCTCTGGCAATTTACCCCCTTGCACGAAGCTGCTTCCAAGAACCGCGTAGAGGTCTGCTCCCTCCTACTGAGTCACGGTGCGGATCCCACATTAGTCAACTGCCACGGCAAGAGCGCGGTCGATATGGCTCCAACGCCTGAGCTAAGGGAGAGACTGACCTGTAAGTGTTTTCAGACTGGAAACAGTGCTTGGTGGGCGTAAAGGAGTGCTTTCCTTTCAAGCCAGCGTCCTCACACTTCACAAGTAGGTGCAAAGCAGCACAGTAACTGCAGCTGTGCCTCTCGCTTTGAAGTGCACAGGTACATTCAATATACTGTTCATAATATTGCCTGGTTTTCTTAGGTTTAGAATGTTTAAGGCACTGCTGATTCGGTGACTGTGGGGGGTTTTTTTGTGCTTAAAACCCAGTTAAGTCACATAGGAGCCTCTGTATCAAGGCTCTGTATCACACTTAGAGTAGCTTCAGTGTGCAAACTTGGACATGGAAATTCCAGCACCTTCTTTTGTAGTCTTTGCAGTCCTTATTCTGTTTACATAACAATGTTTCAGCTATAATTTGAATTTGTCTGCCTTTGTTTGCCCTCTTTAGAAGATTTGTTTTCTCATTGTTATAAACTGTAAAAGATAATTGAGACAATTGTGGAAACAAAGCATTTGAAATTAGAGAAAACTCCTTCTTGAGAAGTAGATTCTGAACTCAATTATAAATAAGCTTTTGGTTTGATCTGTCACCTTCCCAGCATAGCAGAAGCCCCTGACACACTAAGAATGCGATCCTGCACTACTCACGATCACAGCCAGTCAGGTTGTTGTCCATCACTATTCTTTGCTTGTGAAGGTGGTGAGATCATTTGTAGCAGAAAACTGAAAGCTTTGCTCTAGGAGAAAAGATGAGGGTGTTAATATTATTTGTCTACTTCTCCGCTCTCTGTTCTGAGCTAACTTGGGAGATGCTTCTGGCTTTGAGGCAGGTTAATTTACCATTTCTTTAAATTAGCAAGAAAAAAAAAAAAAAGAAACCTTGTTTTATTTTTGTATTTATAGTTCCTGGAGAGGAGTGGGGAAAGATTCATGTCTATTAATATCCTCTGAAATGTGTACACAAATGTAAGCGTTACGCGTAATTCTACAGTATCTTGATGGGACATCCTGTATTTGTATATCCAAAATAACACGTTTAGTATATTCTGGAGTTCTTTGGTTTTATACTTGAGAAGTAATATTACACTTATTTGTGATTTCAAGATACTTGTGCTTTGAGAAATGCTTTGTTTACAAAGAAATTTGAATTCTATTTGAAATGAAAACTTAAAAGTTATATTTATTTCTAAATGCACAAATGGACCAGATGTTAAAACAAGGGTGGGAGAAGAAAGCCCCTCTTAACGAGCTTAGCATTTCAAGTTTCCTTATGAAAGAAAAATATTGATACTTTTATTGAAATTGTGGAGCGCTTTTTTCCCTAGTTCCCCAGTTCAGATGTCATTCTTGCTAACCTACCTTTCATTTGTACGTTTTAAGAGAAACACTTTTAGTCCTTTTCAAATTATTTAAAACTAAAATGAAATAATTGTGGAACTGAGCAAGATGTGACGCTGAAAATAATAAAATTACTCTCTGTACTTGCAAAGATATCGCTGCTATCAAAACCTGTTTCGTCTTTGTAGCAGACTGGCTTCAAATGCGTAGCTGGTTAGCTTTCTTTAAGACCAATAGTTTTGATATTTTTATATATATATAATTATATGTAAATTAGATATATTTATTCAGGTTTTACCCTGAATTATTTGTAGTCGTAAATACACTGAGTTTTTGAAAAGCAACTGTAATGCTTTTTTCTGAAATGTGTAATAGCATTGTGCTCCCTTGGACACATACATAGGTACTTCAGAGGTCACATATGCATTTAATATCAAGTGGGTAGAGGACAAGAGGGAGAAAAACTGTAAGGATTTTACTCAAGGAATCACTCCCCTCTCCTTTAGAATGTCCCTTTGGTTTCAGTAAACCATGTTTCATGTCCTGTGTCCCAGGTCAGCTAATATCTGAATATGTACAGAAGTATTCTTACGTCCTCTTAATTGAGTATAGCTACCTTTCTCCAATAACATTTATAAATGTGACGTGTTGCTGAATATTAAATGCATCTTTTTCTTCTAACAGATGAATTCAAAGGACACTCTTTACTGCAAGCAGCCAGAGAGGCAGACCTAGCCAAAGTGAAAAAGACACTTGCTTTGGAGATCATTAATTTTAAGCAGCCACAGTCGCATGAGACTGCACTGGTGAGATTATACAGTCAATCCATTTGTTTCATGATAAATGTGGTGGTAGAGCTAGCTGAGGAGTTTTACTTCTACACTATGAAAATATATTCATCATCTGAGACTGAGGATTTTCCATCAAATACTTCATATATTAAAATTAAATCACTATTATAAAAAAAAATATTTTTTATTACTTTTTTCTTCTTCCTGGTAGATTACAGAAGCCCTTCAGCCACTCCTCACCTGTTCATTTTTCACTTCTCTCTTGCTTTTTTTCCCCTATCACCTTCTTTTTTTTTTGTTGGGCAACTGCTGTGTTTTTTCTGGGGTTAAATTCTATTCCAGTGGCCCAGCGCTTTCTGAATGTTTTATGTGGGCAAACTTGAAGTACAGATTTTCTTCATAGGGTGTGTAAAATTGTGGTGAAAATAGATGCTAGGTGTATATCACAGGGTCTTACAGGGTTGGAGTATTACTAACAATACGACGTTAGCCATGGAAACAGGGGTCTTTGTGACTTTCCTGGCAATATCCTGCTCTTGTTGCATTGTGTGAAGAAGCAGTGGAGGCAGAGAACACAGCCAGTATTCCAGATACGGTGAAGATGTTGAAGTCGAGAGGAACTGATGCTATTATTAACACCATTATAGTTATGGTACTTTATTCCAATGGAACATTTTCTTCACAGTGGTAGGTCTCAGCTGCAGGCGTACAACTGCATATTTAGTGTTACAAACATGGTGATTGTGATCTGAACATTATGTCTTGAGTACTGTGGTGGGTTGACCCTGGTGGCATGCCAGGTGCCCACCAAAGCCGCTTTATCACTCCCCTTCTCAGCAGGACAGGGGAGAGAAGATATAATGAAAAACTTGGTTGAGATAAGGACAGGGAGAGATCATTCCACCGGTTACTGTCACGGGCAAAAGAGACTTGAGTTTGGGAAAATTAATTTATTACCAATTAAATCAGAGTAGGGTAATGAGAACGAGAATCAAATCAAATTAAACACCTTCCCCCACCCCACACTTCTTCCCAGGCTCAACTTTACTCCCAATTTTCTCTACTTCTTCTCCCGGAGCAGCACAGGGGGGTGGGAATGCAGGTTGCAGTCAGTTCATCACACGCTGTTTCTGCCACTCCTTCCTCCTCAGAGGGAGGACTCCTCACACTCTTCCCCTGCTCCAGCCTGAGGTCTCTCCCATGGGAGACAATCCTTCATGAACTTCTCCAACATTAGTCCTCCTCACAGGCTGCAGTTCATTAACTGCTCTAGTGTGAGTCCTTTCTATGGAGTGCAGTCCTTCAGGAACAGACTGCTCCATCGTGGGTCCCCCACAGGGTCACAGTCCTGCCAGCAAACCTGCTTCAGCATGGGCTCCTCTCTCCATGGGTGCACAGGTCCTGCCAGGAGCCTGCTGAGTGTGGGCTTCCCATGGGGCCACAGCCTCTTTTGGGTGCATCCACCTGCTCCAGCATGGGATCCTCCATAGGCTGCAGGTGTATCTCTGCTCCACTGTTAACTTCTATGGTCTGCAGGGGGACAGCCTGTCTCACCATGGTCTTCACCACAGGGGAATCTCTGCTCTGGCACCTGGAGCACCTCCTCCCCTTCCTTTCTCACTGATCTTGGTGTCTACAGGTTTTTCTCTCTCACATATTCTCATTCCTCTGTCCGGCTGCAGTTTTCTCTTGTGCAGTTTTTTATTTTTCCCCCTTCTTAACTATGTTACCCCAGAGGCTCTACCACCATGGCTGATGGGCTCAGCCTTGGCCAGCAACAGATCCGTCTTGGAGTCGGCTGGCATTGGCTCTATTCGACATGGAGGAAGCTTCTGGCAGCTTCTTGTAGAAGCCACCCCAGTAGCCCCCCTACCAAAACCTTGCCATGCAAACCAAATACAAATATTGAGCATCCATATACTCTGTTCTCTCCGTGGAGGATTTAGCATCCTAGTCTGAGCTTAGAAGTAAAACAGAGAAGAGATATTGTGAGGCTGAACATGAAGACAGTAGGAAATTTGGGATGATGTTATCCTTTTCTTCCTGAGTATATCAGCTGCTGCTATGTGGTGTCTTTAGCTGTGTAATAATCGCTTTGTGGTATTCTTTGCTCTTATTATTATATTATTGTGGTATTCTTTGCTCTTATTATACCTGCTCATTCTGCAGAGACAGCTAGGCAAAATGTGATACTTTAGCTCTATTGATGTCTGTGGTTAACTGTTCAGTAAGTGTTTGACTGTGATTTCTTGGGGTTTGCCTCCCACACTTGAGATTTCCAAGTGGTCTCTCATCCAAGCGGCAGGACTTAGCTTCCAGGATCAGATGAGGTTATGTACAATCTAACTGAACTATTTCTGTCTTAAGCATGGTATCTTTTACCATGGGGCACTAGGATCTGTGCCCTATTACCCTACGAAGGCCAAAGCAAGCACCTGGTTTATATTTCAGTGTTGCTCTGAGGCTTAGCATTTGTGCTGGTTTATCTTATTGAGAGGAAATACTGATAGGTTATTATTAGCAGAGCCTCAAAAATGCTGCCACTCTTCAGACCAAAAGTTGATCTTAATGTTTATTTGCAAAGCTTTTGCTTTTGCAAAACTTGGTCATGCTCTGCTGACTAGCAGCCGTGTGGAAACTTGAGTGGCAGTTAATTCATAGTAAAGGCTGAAATGGGGCAGAAGATGGTTATTGCCACTTATTAGCATTCTGTTTGCCATCTGTCTCATTGTAAAGGCTATTGTTTTGCTGTTGGAAAGTTTGAGAACTTTGTTCCAGGAGACTGTCCGCTTCTTATGGGTTACTGGTTTAAAACATGAGTAAGTGTATAAATAAAAACATTCAAAAGCATCTCTTATTTCTCATAGTCTGCTATCTTGAGATATCCGAACTTGAGACGAGCATTTCTGGACTGATTTTAGAGAATGGTGTTCAGCTTATCTGGAGTCATGCTTGTAATTTCAGGCCTCAGGAATGCATTGGTAGGGCCAGTATTGAAAATGCCAGGACAGGTTGAGTCTAGTCTCTGCAGAGGATCAAAGGAAAAAAGCGGGCAATAAAGTGCTCACTCTGGGTGCCAAATGCACAGACAAACCAACAAGCAGACCCCAGCCGCATTCAGGAGAATAGTTACACCTAGGAAAGGGGCGTATGGTGTTCTCACAAGGGTAGTCTTGAGCATTGAAAAGCACTGTGTGAAAGATACCTCTTTCTCATAGCGTGGAAAAGAAGATACTCTAAGACGACTGTATTGCTCATTTGTTTATTACGTAATTTCTAATTGGATGCATAACAATTCCAATTAGATTGGCAAGTTCAGTACACACTGAAATAGAAGAAGAAACAAAGCAACATTCAAAAGTCATATTAATCTGACAACAACAGCAGAATCTAATTGACCTCTTTGGAGTCCCTCTGTACAAAGTTAGGCTGTTTCAAGCGCTTTGTCTTTACCTTCTTTGTGCATTATTTGCTGGTTGTGTTCTGACACCTTGTTAATGTAGTTGGGAACATACTGCTTTTTTCATGACAAATATCTTTAAAATGAAAATTGTTTTCCTGAGTGGAATAATTTAGCATTGATTACTAGCTTGTGTTTTGTTCAATATGTTTTATGTTTCAGCAGAAATACGATGGATTCTGTATGTAAATTTTGTAGTCTGGTGTTCAGCAGAATAAATAAGATATGAAGTCATGGGTCTTAAAGCTCTTTGACATCTGTGTAGTTGAAATATAATTTATATTTACTTTTTTGCAGCACTGTGCTGTCGCCGCTGTGCATCCCAAGCGGAAGCAAGTTACAGAACTATTGCTCAGGAAAGGAGCAAATGTTAATGAGAAAAACAAAGAGTAGGTTTCTGAAATTTTTGAATTTTCCAAAGGACTGTCATGCTAGGAATGTAAAATTAATATTTTCTTTTTTTTTTTCCTCCCTAGTTTCATGACACCTTTGCATGTTGCAGCTGAAAAAGCTCATAATGATGTAATGGAAGTTCTGCATAAACATGGAGCAAAGGTAAATATACTTAAATATATTTTATTTAAGGCAAAAGGCAAGAAGGGTTATATTGGTTAAATACAGTGTTAGTTTTTATGATAGTTGTTGATTTTTCTTCCGTACGCTTTGTGCTTCTTGTGTTAACCTTGAAGTGTGTTTATCTTAAATCATAGAAATACAGAACAATTTGAGTTGGAAGGGACCTTAAAGATCATCCAGTTCCAACCCCCCTGCTACGGTCAGGGGCACCTTCCACTAGATCAGGTTGCTCAAAGCCTCATCCAACCTGGCTTTGAACGCTTCCAGGCATGGGACGTCCATAACTTCTCTGGGCAACCTGTTCCAGTGTTTCACGACCCACAGAGTGAAGAATTTCTTCCTTAGATCTAACCTAAATCTTCCCTCTTTCAGTTTAAATCCATTACCTCTTGTCCTGTCACTACACACTCTTGTGAAAAGTCCCTCTCCAGCTTTCCTGTAGGCCCTCTTTAGGTACTGGAAGGCTGCTAGAAGATCTCCCAGGAGCCTTCTCTTCTCCAGGCTGAACAACCCCAATTCTCTCAGCCTGTCTTCATGGAATATGTGCTCCAGCCCTCAGACCATCTTTGTTGCCCTCCTCTGGACCTGGTCCAACAGCTCCATATCCTCCTTGTGTTGAGGTCCCCAGAGCTGGATGCAGTACTCCAGGTGGGGTCTCAGGAGAGCAGAGTAGAGGGGCAGAATCACCTCCCTCGACCTGCTGGCCACGCTCCTTTTGATGCAGCCCAGGATACGGTTGGCTTTCTGGGCTGCAAGTGCACATTGCTGGCTCATGTTGAGCTTCTCATCAACAGGAGTTGAAAACTCATCAAATCAGTACAGGTTGTTCAGGAATCCCATTTGAAAATTAGGTCTTCTCTCCAAGTAACCGAATACAGGCTTTAAGAGTCTGACTTACTCTTTTAATGAATCTTACTACTCATTTCTAATAAATGTGGTCATCTAGGTGCCTCTTGTTGCTGTGTGTTGTTGACTTGAAAACATCCAATGTCTGAGTTTGCTGACACTGAGTTTAATAGTCTAATACTGGGCATCCCTTAGCCCTTGCTTGCTTCTTATTCTCTTGGTCAGATTGTTTTGCCCTGCCCTTTAGCTGTTGCTAAGTGCTGACCAAAGTAATTTGTGAACCTGTGGTGAAGCTTGCTTAGAAACACATGGTTCAGCAAGTTATTAGTTAAAGGCAGAGGAAAGTCTAACTTACTTCATTTAGGATACATCTTTTAGAAGTATTTCAGAATTGTCTTTCTCTGAGTTTTAGCAGCAAACTTGACATTTGTAGTAATGATATACTTAGTTACTTATTTTTCTCAGAAACTCTTCTTGATGGGTACTTTTTTTTGCATGGGTTAAAATATAAATTATCTCATTTTTGCTTTTAAAGGGGCTCATTTTACTCTCTTTGAGGCTTCATCTTCATTCAGGTATCTAGAAATGAAGAAATATACCTATAACAGCAATCCAGTGTATCACTCTTGACATGCTAGGAGGTGCGAGCAATGTAATTGTATGCATAGTTAATTCTAAATCTTTTTATTTTGAAACAATGAATTGTAATTTACAAGCCTGTATCAGAGCTCATTGCCAGATTTCAGCATCTGATTCACTTCCATAGTACTTTAATGGGATCATAAAATAGCTTAACAACAATGCTATGACAGAGGTTATTGTATTTGAGAATCCTGATGCAGTGGTGACATACCAAGATTCTCTTGGGGGGGTGAAAGCAGGGCCAGAGGTCTGAGTTATAGTCATTAAACCCATTCATTATCATTTTCTCAGATTCACTCTTAGTGGTATACCTACGCACTGAAAGTGAAAAAAATTTCATTTTGCCATGGAAATAAATACCTCATGGCTTTATGGATCTGATTTTGCACAGGAATTCAGTACTGGTGGTATTTGGGTAGGTGCTGAACTGGACGTGCTGGAGTTTCAAGTGTATTGATACTCACTACCTGCTTGGAAATATAGGAGTTCCTGTGTGTTGAGGGTTTCTGGAAAGCCTGCTACTATACTGTAGATATTTAAATTAGTACTCCCTTGAAAATCTAGCTCTGTGTAGCCAGGTTAGGAGTAAGCTCAAGGATATCATCCTTACTGGTGTGGCCCAATTTTATTGTTTGTGTCAGCACATTCTGACGATAGCTTCTAATTCTTTTATGTCTCAAAGCAGGGGTTCCTAAATCGTGATCCATGAGTCACTTGTGAACTGAGTGATGGTGGTGAGTGGCCCACAGTTATCTACAGAACCACACTGAGTGGTGTGTTCTGTTGTTTTTTCCATTGACAATATGCAAGTACAAGTTCATGGTAGTCATTAAAACTCATTCTTCATTCATATCCTGGTGTATGTTTGCTATGTTATTCTGAGGATAGCCATTCACGTTTATGATCCAATAAGGCACTTAAGTGCATGACAAGAGACCACTCATAGTTCAAATTAAGCGTATATTTCCGTACTGCAATGGATCAGCTCTGTCTTTATTGATGTCCAAAGTTCCTTAGCTGTAGAACAGTACATAATGCAATCATGTTTTTTATGACAGGTAGGTAATTCAGGCTTATGAAGCACTTTGAAGTTCCCAGATGGGATATGCTCTTGTGTATTAATTAGTTAACTAGGTATATTTAATCACTCAAAAATGTTTATCTTGCCTGTGTATTATCATTTGACCTCTTGCTTGTGCTTTGACTGTAAGCATCCGGTTCATTAGACCCTCTTAACATTGATATGTCTTTGTTTCTGATTTTTTTGGGGACACAACAGCTTTAATTCTTGAAGCATGATAGAGATTTTTTTTTTTCTCCGTTTGTTGTGTTTCTGGAAGCTTTTTCTTCCTGTTTACTCTTTTTGTGCCTTGAATTTTAGTTACTACTTAAGATGCAGTCAAATGTACTAAGCTCTTTGATCCTTTCTAGCCGTATTTTTTACAAGAGAGGGTTCTCAGGAGCTGGTGAATCTAGCTCCCCTGCAATAGCAGCCTCACTGTGAATATCCATTTGTTCTTTGAACAGCACTCTCCTGCAGTTGAAATACCTCTTTTCCATTTTGATGCTTGCTCTGCTGAGGTATTTGCAGTGAACAAACTGATTCTTCTTAGCCTTTGTTTTTGTAGACTAAAAGCCTCAGACATAGTCTTCCCTCGTAAGGGAACATTGCCGTTTCCTAATCATCCTTATAACCCGTCTCTTTACTAGCACCAGAGGAAATCTTGGAGCTCAGGCAAGGAGAATGGAATTCAGTTCCCCCACTGCCTTACATGATGGCACTTCCGTATTACTGATGTAAAAGTTGGGCTAATGCATACTGGGATCATGTTTGCCTTTTTAATAGACATGACACAATAGTACTCAGACCCTTCCTGTAGTCTTGTAGTACACAGAGAATCTCAATTTTATTGTTTTTTCATGCTAATTTTTTGTATTCATGCCCTTCAGCACAGTTCTCCTCCTCCAAAATCATTAATGAAAATATTAAACCAAAATTATCCCACAACCAATCTCTGAGCAGCCCTCCGCCTTTGAATACGTTCAGTTCTTCAATCAATCTGTTTTTCCTTATAAAATACATAAAAACTTCCCATGTGATCCCATATCAAATACTGAAGTAAGTGGATGGGTGAGACCTATCATATTTTCTTTACTTTGTAACCATTCCTTCTATCAAAGGAAAGGTACTATATAAGGCAGCTTTAATCTACCTTCTGGAAACCATTACTGATTACAGAGAGAGCAACTGAAAAGGATGAGTAACTGGGGCTTCAAAGAAAGTGGAACTTTCTTCTTCTGGAATACAGTGCCAAAAGGCAGTCAACTGATCCACAAAAAACATCCAGTAGTGGATTTAGGAGACAGTGTCATGTAAAGTTTTGTAGATTGAAAATCATTTGTGATTGTTTTAGCAATAGAGAGGAAATTCTGCTGTTTTCATGTGGAGCAGCTGTGATCTGTGTCAGTGAGCAAAAGTGAGATAACGTGAAGCATGTATGTTTGAGTAGGCTTTTCTTGTTTTGCAAAATAGGCTGAAGCATGGTAAAGACTGCTTTAGGGAATTTATTTGGGATGAACAAGAGATGATTCGTGGTCTTGGAGCTAGACTTTATTGTCCTTAATTTTATCATTCTGTAAATTTGCTGTTTGAAGTATGTTAGATGATAATAAAAAGTCGAGGACTCTTTCAATAACATGTGCTTGATCTAGAATCATAGAATAGAATCATAGAATGGTTAGGGTTGGAAGGGACCTCAAAGATCATCTAGTTCCACCCCCCCTGCCATGGGCAGGGAAATCCTCCACTACACCAGGTTGCCCAAAGCCTCATCCAACCTGGCCTTGAACACTGCCAGGGATGGGGCATCCACAGCTTCTCTGGGCAACCTGTTCCAGTACCTCACCACCCTCAATGTAAAGAATTTCTTTCTTATATCTAACCTAAATTTGCCCTCTTTCAGTTTAAATCCATTGCCCTTTGTCCTGTCACTACACACGCTTGTAAAAAGTCCCTCTCCAGCTTTCCTGTAGGCCCCCTTTAGGTACTGGAAAGCTGCTATAAGATCCCCCCGGAGCCTTCTCTTCTCCAGACTGAACAGCCCCAACTCTCTCAGCCTGTCTTCATAGCAGAGGTGCTCCAGCCCTCTGATCATCTTTGTGGCCCTCCTCTGGACTCGTTCCAGTAGCTCCATGTCCTTCTTGTGTTGAGGACTCCAGAGCTGAACACAGTATTCCAGGTGGGGTCTCACGAGAGCTGAGTAGAGGGGCAGGATCACTTCCCTCGACCTGCTGGCCACGCTTCTTTTGATGCAGCCCAGGATACGGTTGGCTTTCTGGGCTGCCAGCGCACATTGCCGGCTCATGTTGAGCTTCTCATTCACCAGCACTCCCAAGTCCTTTTCCTCAGGGCTGCTCTCAATCCATTCTCCGCCCAGCCTGTACTTGTGCATGGGATTGCCCCGACCCACGTGCAGGACCTTGCCCTTGGCCTTGTTGAACTTCATGAGGTTCTCACAAGCCCATCTCTCCAGCCTGTCAAGGTCCCTCTGGATGGCATCCCTTCCCTCCAGCGTGTCCACAACACCACACAACTTGAGAAGAAATTCTACTAGACTTTTACAGAAATATTTCTAAGAACATCAGTATTGGCAAGAGTCAACCTATACCCACATATTGCTTATTTTGTTGTGTCTTGCTGGCTCTTACTGGCACCACAGACTAGGTTTGTAATTTGAACTGTGAAGAAGCCCTTGGTGCGCATCACTTGCACGTCAGCATGTTATGTCTAAGCAATACCCATTCCATAGTCAGCGAAGATATTTTCGTTAGCTTGTTACTTGAGTTTGCAGAAGTTGACCGTCAAACTGTGCATCTAAAGCACAGGAGAGAAACCTTGGGGTTTCTTAGAATTTTCTTCAAGAAGGTTGATCATAAATATCTGTGGTTTTAATTGCCATACCCAGCTTTCACTTGTTTGCCTGAACTGCGGTGTGAAACAGCATTTCACACCACTGCTTATTTGATGTTGAATATCCTCAAAGTACCCTGTGAAAAATAAAAGCAGAGAATCTTTAAAGAATCCTCAAAGATGAAAATTTGCTTATGAGTCTAATAAAAAAATAGTGTAAGTTCCACAAATGTATCTTTGAAGATGGTCAAAATCTTTTGTTTAAAAAGAAAATAATTTGAAGGTGGTGAACTAATGAAAAAGTGGCTTTCATGCTGTTTTGTTGTATTGCTAGATAGTTGGATACCTCTAATAACTAGCTCCTTGTCTGAATTTACAGATACATGGGAAATTTAATATGTTCAGAAAGACATTTGACTTTCTAGGAGTGCAGAAGAAGAGTTAAATTCTTTTCTGAACTGGAATGATTGTTGGAAAGACAGACCTGCAAGCATGCAAGTTCTCTGGTATCTTGGGCAAGTGTAGAGATGTCATGAATGCTCTTTGTTTGACTGTGTTATGTTTCTAAAGGATACTGTTGAAATGATTCTTCTGCAAGAGAAAATGAGCCTTTCAGGGTCATGTTGGACAGATAGTGTCCCTGTTCATCATAGTAGCAGAAATAGCTTCATTCTGCTCTGCTAGAAGCATCTTGCTTTATGGATCTTTGCATAATACAGTTATTTCTGTTTGTTGGAGTAGCATGTTGCTAGCCTTTCATGATCACGGATTTGAAAATGGTCACCATCTATCTAGACCCACACAACAGACTTAAATGGTTTTGAATAATCTTGTTGTGTAATACATTTGCTTCCAACGTTTCAGGTAGAAGTATGATTTTTCTCAGCACAGAAAAAGCATTGAAAAATCAAATTTCCTTTCAGAAATGCAGCAGGCTCAGGACTATGATGGTTAACAACGTGAAGAACTGTGTGATCTGTTGTGATTGTGTGGTTCAAATTTTCTCACTGCTTAAACATCCAAACTCAGTGACATTAAGATTAAGCTTTTATGCAAAGTGACAACTGTGGAACATATGGCTGGATCATTTAGGAGCTTTCAGAGTGAAACTATACCTTTTTCTTTTTTTCTTTTTCTTTTTTTTTTTCTAGTAGAGCTTGAAATTGCCACCAGTGCCTCTTCACTCCTATCCTGTTTGTTGTTAGCGATGCACAGAGACACAAGACATACTGCAAGTTGTCTTCAGAATAAATGCAGCAGGAGAGTGGTTAGAACACTTGCATTGCAGTGAAGGATATAGTGATACTGAAATGGGGGAGAGCACAAGTTTCAAGTGTGATTTTTAGAATGTACACCTTTTAGAAAGATCTCACAGAGAAATTTGCAGTGCTTGGAAGCTGGTGCATTTTGTGCTGCTGCAGTGTCAAGGAGTAGGAGGATATTTAGGGCGTTTGATACCAACAGAAAGCTGATATGCTTATAAAGTCTTGCAAAAAAAGTTTCCTGAACAGGTCCCAGCTGTTGAGCTGCCACAAGTGCCTGGCAGCCAAGGAAATATTGCTGTAGCTGTCTACACTGCTCCAAGACAGCAGCAGTGCAGGGACGAAAAAAATCTCTTCAGTGTCTGATGATGCAGGACCATTTCGGTTTATCTAGTGTATCAATCCAGGATGGGGAAAAGGAAACAAAAGGGATAAAAGGAAAGAGCAGAAGGAATTCTTCATTGGGAAATACTGTATAGGATGGTATCTTTCCATGAAAAGGCGTACTTAAAAACACTTTTCATTTGATAACTGCATTCTGCTTTTACGTTGCGATTTGAGCAGTGGAGTGACTGCTTTCATGCTAAAAGGTGAAGAAACCAGATCTAGAGCCAGTGTGCTGTGGAATAAAAGCTGTCACATCTGTCACTTCTAACTCCTTGCAGAAAACTTGTCTGTAAAGTAATTCAGAGCTGCAGTCTTCTAATTTTAGACTGCTCATAAAGGAGAGCAGTTGAATAGTTCTCTTTTTTTTTTTTTGACTAATGCGGCTGGAACAATCTGCCTTCTCAGCAGACAAATAAGGCAGTACACCTTGGATATTTTACATTTTGTCAAATAGAGTTTAAACTTTAGCTTTGAATTTGAAAGGGCGTATGTTTTTAGACATAGTATTGAGCAGTGGTTAACCTAGGCATATATCTTACCCGGTTTGATTTTTATGAGAGTTTAATCTCAGTTTGTATTTCAATTTGTAATGGTCAAATTGGTTTTCATTTGGAAATCAATTGTGTTGCTTTCAGCCTTAGTGCAGTACATCCTTGAGTTGGTTTCAGCCAAGTGCTGCATGATTGGTGAGAGCAGATCTGCCTCAAAGCAAACATATTCCCCATGAAATTGCCCTGCAAAGCCTAATTCTGCTCCTCAGGGAAAACATCAACTCAGTTGGTGCATGCAACCCTCTGTCAGCTGCAGCCTTCTTGGTCCCTGAAGTAAGCAGGCATTTCTTCAAATGGCTGGTGTTCTTCTGCTGCAAGAACAGATTGTTGGCAAAGATAATTATTTGGAGGTGAAAGGAGACCTGCGTAAGACATGTGAGATGATGGATCTGATGACTCTACCAGTGTTCTTTTCAAATGAATATTAACATTTTTTCCAGGGACGCAGTCAGTATTGAATTGTGCAGTGCAAATACCTTGCTGCTATTCTTCAACAATTTGTTCAATACAGGCGTGTTTAACACAGGAATTCAGTGTTACGGAAGACATTAGTTGTGATTCTCTTTCTTGGGTGAACAGAGTTTATCAACTACTTCCAGAATCCACAAGTCTCATTTTATTCTGCCTGTACCATCACTAGACCTGTATAGCCCCAAACTTCTGTTTTTCTCCATGCCCTTATCAGTGGTGAAAGCTATCTGGTGTCTTGGAACAGATGACGATCATCATCTGAACAGAACAATGGATTTGGAACATTCAGCATCTAGTTAATATTTATGATAGCAGTCAGTTTTTATTTAAAACAAAATTTTTAGGGAAATCCCATTAGAGTGGCATGAGCTGAGCATGGTTAGAAGAAAGAACTGTTTTCCTGTACATCTTCCTGCAAGAGAGGTTTGTCATCTGAGAAATTCCTGCTTTATCAGTCTGTAGAATTGTTCAGGGATATAGAAGAATTTCAGACAATATCAGATCACACTCCATTTTATTTATGAGGTAGTGCTTTGTTCTTTCCCGTGTCTTGATATCATTGTATTGCAAGTATTTTACTTAATTTGTTTTTACCCTATCTAGTAGTAGATATTTACATAGTTACCCCTCTAGTTGAATTTCATGTAGTTACAGAATGTGTCTTACCTAAAATGTTTTTTTTTTTTACTAGTTTTCAAGGAAAGGTAGTAGGATTTTCAGGCTGCACTTTAGGTGAGAAATAACAAGCAAATCCTTTGTTCGCTCCCACCACAAAAATTTTGAGAAGGTAAAAAGGTGGGGTTTTTACAGTAACAGAGTCTATTACGCATGCGGTTCACAGCCTGCAATCCGTAGGCTTGGAAACAGATAACAGGTTCTGAGCTGCTGGCAGGGAATGTAGAGTAGTTCTGTATTTCATAAAGTGGTAAAAAGCTGTCGGACATTTGCATTTAAATTTGTCATGAATCGCTACTAGGTACAAAGTATCTTCTTGAAAGGTTATTTTCATGAGGGTTTCTTATGCGTTTTAAAGCTCTCTATTATTCTCTTCCTTTCTGTGATAGTGAACCTGTGGAGATGCTTCTTGTTATTTAGATACTGTTAGATCTCAACAGATTTCCATTTTATCATACTCCTTGAAAGCGATACTCCATTTTGCCTGTTTATATAGTCTTGTATTGAGCAGAATTATATCCGTTTCTGTAAAAGTACAAAAGTACAAAAAGTGAGGAGGAAATGGACTGTTTGTATATCCAACCTCTTTTTTCCCCCCCACTCCTTCATAGAATTCCTAATCTGACATCTTTGTTTTGCTTTAATTCTTGGTAGTGACTAATGTTGAGTTAATTCCCCTTCTGAGAACGACAGATGGTAATTGCCTTAAAGCTGGAAGATCTTTGAATTGTTTGGTTAATTATTTACCTCTTTCTCCTCTTCTGTGAGAGTTTTGCTTTTCCTGCACAAGATTGATCTTCATCGAATTCTTCAAAAGCTCGATCGCTATGTTAAATCACTATTTTAAGTATGTTTTTGGAGATCCTGTGTTGACTGTTAGCCATGCAAACAAATAAGCTATGTTGTTAAAAGACCGGAAAGCATCTGTGGTAAATTATCTTTACATTGGCGTGTTTACCTATTTTGTCATTTGGTTTGGTTTACTTGCAATGCAGAGGGATTGATAGATAAATTTATATGCCAGAAAATTCTCGTTACTGCTGCTCTTGTTAAGGGCAGGGACAGGTGCAGGATTCTAATGATAAGTGTTTTATTTTTATATTCCTGCTGATTTTTCAGATGAATGCACTGGACACACTTGGTCAAACAGCGTTGCACAGGGCTGCGTTAGCAGGTCACTTGCAAACCTGCCGGCTCTTGCTGAATTACGGCTCTGATCCCTCCATCATATCTTTACAAGGCTTCACAGCGGCACAGATGGGAAATGAAGCAGTGCAACAGATACTAAGTGGTGGGTAAAAATAAAGGCTTGTGTATTTGAACTTCAGCTTCTCCCTTTACAGCTGTGGATCTTCTTTTTCAGTGCAAGAGATTTGCAGTAGTTTTCTCATTCTTCTCATCTGCCATCATGTGCACACATCTACAGTATATACTGTGTGATACTTTTCAGGAAAAAAAACACAGCAAAACAAAAAAAGCCCTGCTCAATTTGGTGATTTTGTGCAAATTGGGAAGAAAATAAATATCTTGTGGATTTAGAGCATGCTGCTGTACAGGAAAATTATAGGAAGGCAGATGTGGGAAGGTTTGGATTCTTTCGGTAGCAAGTTCCAAGGCAACTGGAATATTGCCAAACATGCTAGAAATCTTTTTCCTCTCATCAGCCACCCTGTTAGGTTCTCCATTCTTACACAGTCACAAGGAGAGTGTTACTGGCAGAAAAATACTGATAGTTGCTAAACTGTTTGAACTGCTGCTTCAGATCTCTTGCTTGTCCCACAGAGAATTGTGAAAAGTGCTCTGGATACTGTTTAAATAACAATTTGTTTATATCTTGTGTTAAAAAGGTGATAGATGTTTGAGGAGGGTGCCACTATTTTTCGTGTAAGTGCTTAGGGATTTGAATCCTCTTACCCAAGTCACATTTGAATGTTTGTGAATGGGGGGGGCGGGCAGGAGGCATTTTACAGAAGTGCAAGAAAGGACTGTTGTGAAGTGTACCCACTCCTGAGACATAGCTGGTTACACGGGTAGCAGTACCTGTCTAAAATATGCACATGATTGTATGTGTATAGAGAGAAAAATGTTAGCCATGGATCAGAAGAAAATAAACATATCCCCTGCTATTAAAGAGAATAGGAGTTTGATTTAAAAAATAGTAAACTTACAAGTATTCTGAAAACATGCATTTGATTTTGAATTAAAAATTTGTTTTCACTGATTTACCTTTTCTAGGAAAACTAATTTCAAATGTCATACTGTACTGCTTTTCATTGGAGAGGTAGCAGCTTTCTCTTGCATCCCCGAAGGTGTTCAAGACTGCAAGCTGAAAAAATGCATGTAGTGCAGGATAGTTGACACTTTGTTCTCTATATTTCAAAGCTAATAACTGAATGCTGAAGTTATTTACCAAATATTACTGCATGTTTATTTTTGTAAGATTGGGTTAAAAAAATATTTTTCTTAAATGTTGGAATTGTTTTGACAAAGATTGTTACCTGACTCTTGAGTTCACAGCTTAAAATATTTTCCATATAGTATTGGATTTTTTTTTTCCCTCACTTGATTGCTGAGGTACTTCCCAACTGTGAGACAACAACCATGAAAACAGCTTTCTGATGGCATAGTGACCAGTGGATACCACTTTACTCTAGCTGCTTGTGGTTTAGGTTGCGGTTGGTAGGAGTATTGCTACGTAATGTAAGAAAGCTTAGAAAGTACGCTTGTTAATTTTTTCAAAAGTTTGTTAGAAAATGCTGCTAGTTTTGCTTTTCTTCAAGAGTAAAGTTTGTTTTGTTTCTTTACTCAGTGCAGCCTTTTGGTACTCAAGTTCTGATCTATTGGAATTGAAATTTCTCCTTCCTGTAGAAATTAGATTTGTGTTTCTGATTGATTTCCTTTTCTACCCTCACTAAAGTCAGAGTCTTGGCTATCTTGTGAAGACAAGGACAGGAGTCCAGAGAAGAGATGAAGAATTGCTAAGGAACGGAGTTTTGGATCCAGTATAAGACAGCCTCGTTTATTCTCTCCCTGCCTTAGAACGCTGAGATGGTGGTGGTGTTGGGGAGAGCAGGGGAAGGCAAATAACTTAAGATGAAGGAGTGAGCTGAAATCTTAACAGTATGAGACAAATCACAAGTGCAGAGTGCAAAGGCTGTGATTCAGCTGCTGAATTGAGCACGTTTAACCCTGACTGTGCACCAGAGCCTCATGCAGTTTGCTGAAATTGTTGAGAAGGGTGCTTTTGATCTCCAGCAGAACTTTAAATCTGTCCCACTGAGCATGTAGATTTCTTAAATGCAGAAATGGTCATTTTTACCATACGCAGGATTAGCAAAGCATTGAAATTCCATTTGGCAGAATAATGTCAGCTCTAGAGTCTAAAGCTGACTGGTTTACACTGAAACTAAGGCCTTATTCAGCTGTTTAGGCAATATGAATTTGAACATCTCAACTCCAGCTGCATTTTTACAAATGACAACAGACTTTTTTTTTCACGGTTTGGAAAATATGTTGAGCACAAGTTAATATAACTTAATGATCCTAAGTAATCCTAAACCATCTTTTTCCCTATGTAGAAAGTACACCTGTGCGTACATCTGATGTGGATTATCGGTTGTTAGAAGCATCCAAAGCTGGAGACTTGGAAACTGTGAAGGTAGGTTTGAGTAATTCATGTTAATTTTCCACTTTGTATTGCTGTGCAAGGCTTGTGGAAGCCTCTGTGGAAGTAGTGCCCAGTGGATGGTAAATCATAAAAAATGGGAAGGCAAACATCTTCAGGTTTTTTCTCTAGGAAGTAGTACATTAAGATGTGCTGAGGTGTTTCTCTTGAGTTTTTGCTTGCTCACTCTCCCAGTCCTTCACGTAGTCACATCTTCAATGAACTCTGGTGCAATGTTGCAGATGCAACTGTAATTCTTTGAAGTGGACCTTGTGATCCTCAGAATCACAGTTTAGTAGAAGCAAGCCTCAGGTACATGATTCAATCAGAAGGCAAGCCAACAAAAGTCTTAACAGGTAGCAGACTTCACATTTTAAGCCATCCTTAATCTGAAGGTGAAGGATCAGGCCATGGAATCCCAACATCACAGGAAGATGTGATCTTGTCTTTCATACTTGGTCTGTGGGCAAAATAGCCTGCAGATAGACTGTTCTGCATGCACTCTCACCTTGAACTTCAACGTGATACGTATTAATATTCAAACAGCAGCAGTTTTGTGCATCAGCAGTAACTTTTGACTACCAAGCTCAGTATTTCTAGATTTCTGAAGACAACATAAGCTGGAAATGGTAACATATCTGGAGAAGGTTACATGGCCTTGCCCCTGGTACTTGGTGGTTTAGAGGCTCACCCTTTCTAATACATGAGGAATGTCTTCATACTGCTTCCATCATTTAACTTTTTTGTTACAGAAGTACTTTCAGCCATAACTATAGAGCAGCTAGTTTTTTAACTTTGCCTAGTGGAAAGAAACTTCCTGAAGCCGAACTTCTAAAAATTTGTATATAATAATAAATGGATCAAATTTTGTGTTGGGACGTTTGGGGGTGGTAGTTTCGGGATGTTGTTTTGGCTTTTTTGTTTGGTTGTTTTACTAGGTTTTGCTTGGTTTGTGGGGGATTTTTTGTTTGTTTTAGTGCTGTACTAGATTTTGGTTTCTTCTTTTGTCTTTGCAGCAACTTTGCAGCCCTCAGAATGTGAATTGTAGAGATTTGGAAGGCCGTCATTCAACGCCACTGCACTTTGCTGCAGGATATAACCGCGTATCAGTGGTGGAGTATCTGTTGCACCACGGGGCAGATGTGCATGCCAAAGATAAAGGGTATGTTTCATTCCATAATATACTCTGCTGTTTTCTGTTAGTGTGAGACTTCTACCCCCTTCTATTCATTCTGCTTCAGATTTTATTAACCATCATGTTTTTCTCTTGAAAATTTTCTTCTTTTCCTTCTTGTTCTGCATTGTTCCTGACATCACTGTAGGGAGATTTATAGACCATTATTAGCTTTCTGGCAAAGTCATTGTCAAGTACGTATCTGGCACTGTAATACATGATCCTACTCTTCCCCGTTTTGCTCATTTTGGAGACTTCGTTGTGCTTTAAAGCAGCCTTTAAGTTATTTTAGGTGATCTAAAATTAGTTTTGAATTGCATGGGGTAAAATACCAGAGTTATCTCTGGTCATTTTTCTAATTTTGTTAGTTAGCTTTTATTATTAAGTTAGTTATTTATTCAGTTAATATTCAGTTAAATGATACAAACCGTTTACAAGTTTTTGCATTATTTGCAAAACGATCATGTAGAATAACATGATTATGTTTGATCTCTGACTCCAATATATTGATTCAGGCTGGAGGATAATTCATTTCCAATGCTAAAACATTTCCAATACTGAATTTTCAAGCTCTCCCTGAAATAAATGTTTGGATATCTTTCTGTGTCTATCAGGTGTGCAGTGCTTACTAATAACTCTACTTCAAACCCATTGTATAGTGTTATACCTTTTCTGAATTTTCCACTCAAATATTCGAAGTCAGAACATCAGTGATTCTTGAAATTTATTTTTTGACTGTTGTTAACAGCACTGAAGTTATTTGCTTGTGGAAGTAGTAACATAGGTGCTTGCTAAATATTTAAAAGTCTCGTGGATGAGAACCAAAGGAGTCTAATGGAAGTTTTAATTGATCTTTTAATAGCAAAGAAATAAAGCCATGAAAATTTGAAAGATTGAAAGATAGTGATAATGTCTGGTGGAAGTGGGAGTTTTATCTAGCGGAACTTTGAATGATTGCGTATTGGGTTTTATTTTCTGTAGCTATTAATACTTTCTCTTCGATTAGTGGCTTAGTACCCCTGCACAATGCCTGTTCTTATGGACACTACGAAGTGGCTGAACTCTTAGTGAGGCATGGTGCTTCTGTCAACGTGGCGGACCTGTGGAAATTCACGCCTCTACATGAAGCGGCAGCAAAAGGAAAATATGAAATCTGCAAGCTACTTTTAAAAGTATGTGCTGGAGTTCTCAGATGTCTTTGAATGTATATATGCTTATTTTTGCTGAAGATAAATTAATTAATGCAAAGTTAATTTCATTCAGTGAGTTCTTTTTGGTGTCTTTGAATCTCTTTTCATCTTACAGCTGTCAGTTTCTTGTGTAATGTCAATTCACTTACAAAGGATCATCAGTACAGTTAATTTTTCCAGTATGTGTATTAATACTATTAGCCAAGTAGGACAAGACTCTCAAACTTGAAAAAGCAGCTGAATTTGTGTAAAAATACAAAAAAAGCCACCTTAACCTGTTCGCCCCTTTCTGGAACCATTGCTGCAGATAAGTAAACCTTTGTAAATACTTAACACGAGTGTGTTACAGAGCAACAACTGAAGGTGGGTCCTAAATGGTGTCTGGCATGTGAGAAGTTTAAAACTGTTATGTTAATGTGTAGTTTATCAAGCTCCTGGAGGAAATGCATATTAATATACTTTGGAATAAATATTCATTATAATCAGTGGAAGAACCTGTAAAAAGCATGAGGTAATGCCAGCATGTTTCCAGTGAGAAACATGAGTTTAAGAGACTTCTTAACATAAGGTCATATCCTGCTGTAGGGAGGTAGAAGCAGGTGCTAGAGTAGAATTTCTTGCCAGTCTTGTTTCCTGTTTTAGCCTTGCCTACTTTGTGTCCTTCTGAAGCACAGCATTTAAAATAGGAGTGAGTCAGAATACTGATAGCCTTAAAATGATGAGGCTCTTCCCCATCCATTTCCCTTTTCATTTGCTGCTGCAAAGCCCTGCTATTTCCCTCCTATTTCATTAATTATTTAACTTGATTACCAAAAAAAGCATTCAGAGGAACTAGCACATCAGTTTGAAACACTTCTGCAGTAGAAACAGAAGATACTCAGAGATGTCTGTGAAAGAAAGCACAACGATAGCCCTGGTAGTAAACATCTGAATACAGATGTTAGCTCAAGCTATAGGAGCATTCACAGTCTCTCAAGCGCAGGGTTACTTTATAAGCATCAGAGGTCTCTGGAGTTTTCTGATCATTCCACTAGGAATATAGCCATTTTTTGTGTTCAGAGGATCCTGAATTGGATGTATGACAGGAAATAGAAAAGCACTGAAATCTTTCTTTCTGAAATCACGTTTGCACAGTAGTGGCATATGCCCTTAAGGTGACAGAGTTTTGTAAAGGCTCTGGGTGTCCATGAATATGTTCTCATGCTGCAGTTTGCTCAGGGCTTCTCCTCCTGTGTCTCTTATGCCAGCTGGCAGTGCTGTCAGTTCTGCTGAGCTGTGGCTGTTGAGCTTAACTCCTCCTGACTTGCGCTCTTTCTGTCCTAGTCTGCTTGAAGAAGGAAACAAAAATTTACAGGCATTTTGGAGAGACTTTCTCTTTTCATCACCTTTCTTTAAAATCACCGCCTTCATTTCTTTCTGTGCCTCTGAAGAGGTCTCAGAGGACACTATCTCTTCATTTAGATATTTATTCTGGAGAGTCTTTGAATAGTTCCAATTTTGATGAGTTTTAAATTAAGGGATCTAAGATGGTATCTTGCAGAAGTCATTGCAGTTTAAAATGCTTTGTGAAAAGAAGGCTCTCTTCCCAAAAGGACCACAAATGTGGAACTGGTTCTGCATAATCATTACTCTGCCCCTTTCTGTCCCTTGCTGTTTGCCCTTTACACCCTGAGCATTGCTGTAGTGCTTCCAAATGCAAGGCAGTTAATTCCTTCTGTTTTCCCTATCCCTAGCTGATTCTCGGTGGCTCACACTAACACAGCTTTTCCAGCATCCCCAGTGAGAAATGGCAGAGTAAATTTGCTGGCAGAGACTGGACCACTGTGTTTGATTATTCTGAAGGGACCAGACAGAGAACTATAGTGCTAGTAGCTGCCTCTGCCTTATCTACCTTCGTTTTTTTCCCCACTGCTGCTGAAAGTGAACAGGGAGGGAGCTGTCCTTGCACAAAGTCGTATGTGGACATGACTCTCGCCATGTGCTGTCTTGTTATGGTTTAGCACCAGCTGGCTACTAAGCCCCACACAGCCGCTCCCTCATTCCCCCCCAGTGGGATGGGGGAGAGAATTGGAAGGGTAAAAGTGAGAAAACTCATGGATTGAGATAAAGACGGTTGAATAACTAAAGCAAAAGCTGTGCGCACAAGCAAGGCAATATAAGGAATTTATTCACTGCTTCCCATCAGCAGGCAGGTGTTCAGCCACCTCCAGGAAAGGAGGGCTCCATCACGCCTAATGGATACTCAGGAAGACAAATGCCATCGCTCTGAACGTCACCTCCTTCCTCCTCCTTCCCCCAATTTTATATGCTGAGCATGACGTCATATGATATGGAATATTCCTTTGGTCAGCTGTCCCAGCTGTGTCCCCTTCCAACTTCTTGTGCACCCCCAGCCTCCTCACTGGTGGGGTGGGGTGAGAAGCAGGAAAGGCCTTGACTCTGCGCAACCACTCAGCAGTAACTAAACCACCCCTGTATTACCAACACAGTTTTCAGCACAAGTCCAAAACATAGTCCCATGCTAGCTACTATGACGAAAATTAACTCTGTCTCAGTCAAAGCCTGCACATGTGTGTAGACGTGTGTTCCCTCCTCATTCTGTGCTTCAGTACTGTGTTCTTCTCACTGGGTGATCGGCATGTTTTACCAGCACAGATATACTCCAGCAATTATCCAAATCCACTTTCCCACCAAAATATTCTCTTCAGTACTTTCCAGGACCTGTAAACTGTTTAAGAAGGTGCTGTTATCTTTTGGAAATTGTAGAAATTAGTATTTTTCTAGTTCCCTTCTGAAACAAGTACCTTTCAATAGCAGGGTAGCATTTAGTGAAACTCGGGGCCTGGCGTCACTAGCTCAGAAAGGTGTGCTGGGGAAACATCTCTGCCAGCCAGTTTGCAGGAATAGGAAAGGATTGGCCAGCAAGGAATTTGCAGTTGATTTTTCTTTAGCACCTGCTGTGATAGTAGGGTATAGCTATATGCAGGATACGGTCCTGAACCTGCTTCAGTTGCAAGTAGGGCAGTGGCAGCTCTCACAGAGGGCTGCTGTTCTTGCCTGTGGAGTTGAGATTCACACAATTGTGTTGCAGACTGGTGCTTTAGGCCTCAGCCTCCTGCATTTATTGTCATGTGCCTCCTAATCTATACAGTCGTTACTTCATGGTGGCAGGTCGGCAAAATCCCTTGCCTCCTATCTTGTGCCACAAAGTAGTGACACACGTGCACTGCTCTGCTCTGCTCGTGTTTGTGACAGCAGTGTTCCACTTTGCTCTTTGCAGCATGGAGCTGATCCAACAAAAAAGAATCGAGATGGAAACACTCCTCTAGATTTGGTGAAAGAAGGAGACACAGATATCCAGGACTTACTGCGAGGAGACGCTGCCTTGCTAGATGCTGCCAAGAAGGGGTGCCTGGCACGAGTGCAGAAGCTATGTACTCAAGAAAACATCAATTGCAGAGACACACAGGGAAGAAATTCAACACCGCTACATCTTGCAGGTGGGTGACTCGCCAAATTTTGAAGGCTTATATGTTTGACAGGGCTACAGAAGTTAATCGCCAAAACCAGGACTGGTATAATAAGAGTTTCACAGAGGATTGTCCTGTACAGAGAGTTGTAAACTGACAGCTGTATTTCAGGAGGTAATGCAGTGACTAGGAAAAGAGGAGGTTTTGCAGTCAAAAAATTGCTTTAGCTTTTCTATATAATAATTTTTCTTTAGTTGAGGTCTCCTAATACCCAATTTTTTTTTCCTGTGCCTTTTCTACAGCTGGTTACAACAACCTGGAAGTGGCTGAATATCTTCTTGAGCATGGTGCTGATGTTAATGCCCAGGACAAAGGAGGATTAATCCCCCTACACAACGCAGCATCCTATGGGGTAGGTGCAAGCACTCTTGCCATGAGTAGACCAACAAGGAACTCCTTAAAGTCATATCCAAAGCCAGTTATTTTGCAGCTGTCTTGCTGTGAACAAAGTTCAGGTTTTGATGGCATGAAATACTTGTTGGGCTAAGTCACTGTTGTGAGTTCTGTTTCCAGTCCTGCAGATCTAAATAAGACACAAATTTAGGTGTGCTGTAGCAGTTAAAGGCTGCCGTTTGGAAAGATCACTAGAACACAGCTTTTGTGCAAGCAAGCAGATGCATAGCATTGAGCACTGTTAAATTTCAGGTGGCTATTGAAACAGGAAAGACCTCAAATTGTCACTGAAAGACTGAAATGGAAGGAAGAGAACAATACCAGGGGATTGTGTTTGGGTGGGGACAGGGAAGTGGAGGTCTGTTACAGGTGTTCTCTGGTGGGTAGCTATTGCTAAAGTGTTGAAGGGCCATGGAGCTTGTAGTATGGACATCTTCCTGCGCAAGCTGTCTACTGAAGTGGAGCTGCAGTGGCTGATTCAAACCATTTTGGATAAGGCAGGCCCTCCTTCCATATAGGAGGAAGCATCTGTGTGCATACCAGTTGCACAGATGCCTGATAGATTGCTTATAAGCAGCTGTTAATTGTGGATGAGGTGAGAAAGAAATCCCTTGCAAATAATTGTACAGAGATAGTGCTTGAAAACCTCCCAGCAGCGTGCTTACATCCCCTCACTAAATAAGCTATAAATAAGTACATTGTTCACCTTGTTTTTAAGGAGAACGTATCAATGAAACAGCCTGCATCGTTTGCATTGGTTCTCTTGCTTTGTCTGTTACTGCCCGGCCTTGGTACAAGAAGAGCAAAATCTGAGAGAGCTGATGGTAATAGAGCCACAATTGCTTTAGTTTGAGAGCCAAAGGAAATAAGTACATTGATCACCTTGTTTTTAAGGAGAACGTATCAATGAAAGAAACAGCCTGCATCGTTTGCATTGGTTCTCTATGTCAGTCTGGGATCCCAATATCCTAAAGAGCAAAAAGCTCCAAACCCTGCTGAAGGTTTAGAAATGCAACATGGAATTCTTCTTACAATACCAGGTGCTAATGCCAAGCAATATTGTTCATCAGCATCTGCCATAAGCATTAAATTCCCAGGACCTTGCTTAGATCTAGAGATACATTCTGTTGCAAAGATTGTTCTGTCTTTCGAAGCATGGGAAACATTTTATGCGAAGGCAAAACATTCCTTACTGGCACAGGGAAGTGTTAGAGATTGGTTCAAGCTGATTATCACTTCTAAAAATCATAATGCCAATCTAATCTGGTCGCCTTGCTTTCTCTAGGAGAAGTTAATGAGGCAGTCTTTGGTGCTTCTCCATCAGCTTATTTAGTTAAGAGTCGCTATATACCTTTCCTGTGGTGCCCCGCACTTCTCTCTGAGCTGTCATCATCCCATTCAGATTTCTGTGATGATGGGTAGAGAGGAGATGAGTACTGGTTTCACAAGTTTATAGCTGGCAGGTTTCACAGGCTCAACCTTTTCCTCTCAAAATAGTGCTTCATGCTGCTTTTCATGTGGCAGAAAAGTCATAGGACTTCTTTGACCTATCATGAGACCATCACAAACACTACTTCTTGAGCTTCATGTCCTCTGTCTGACTGTAAGCACGCTGCTGGGAGGTTTTCAAGCACGGCCTCTGTACAATTATTTGCAAGGGATTTCTTTCTCACCTCATCCACAATTAACAGCTGCTTATAAGCAATAATATCTTACAATATTAAGCAATAAAGTCTTCCAAACTTTAAAAGTTTGGAAGAGAGGAAGAATAAAGTCAGCCATCTTTTCAAACCACACTTGTTCAAAGAGCAAGCCCTTTTACGAGAGCTGCTGAGAGTCACTTAATTGCCATTAAGAAGAAAAATGAAATCCATTGGCAAGTCTTTGCGCTTCTGCTTACAGTTCCAGTGTTTCATGCTCCTAGATACTCCTTTTGACTACCTGCTTTTTTATTTCCTGGCTGTATCGTGCAAGTAATTTTACTGATCAGAGGCAGCCAAAAATTTTTATTTGCCATTTTATTCTCTTATTTTAACTTGGGAGACTTCAAGGATGGGATATTGATGGAAGCGTGGGTTGCAAGATCATTACTTTTATAGCCCATGTAAAGCAGTTGTCCCTTATAACACTCGTAATGTGTTTTATCAGTTACAGTTCTCTCATAAAGTATGAGTGGAAAAAGAACAAATTTGTGCTGTATGGATGGATTCAAAGTCTTGCAAGAAATTGTAAGACAGAAAACAACTAAGATTTCTATGTACAGACACTTAAGTGGTTACTCAGCAGTAGAGCACATGGTCTTCAGAGCTTCTAGTATTGTATCACAAATATCACAGATACAAAAGTATCACAAATGTTGCATCCCTGTAAATTTGTGTTGCCAGTTCAAATTTGTCTACAAATACTTCTGACAGTTAACTCTTACTTCATCCGACATAAAAATGGTATTTTGTCTGCTCCTGCAGCTGGCACAAACTTCATGCTACTTGGTGCTTTGTGTGATTTGGCAGAATTGTGCCTGATCCAAATTACACGTGTGCTGGTGGATGATCTGGTAGCGCGCAGGTACAGATGTAATGACTGTGGAGCTACAGTATAGTGTATAATAGCACTGCTACATAGCCACGGGAGGCAGAGAAGTGAGTTAAAGAAAGGAAAGAGAAATTACAGGGGTCTTTGAACACCATTGCCTCCAGTACAAAAAAGAAAATATGTGTTTTACCAGTATCAGGTTGATGGAGATATTCTTGTCTTTTCCAGCATGTGGATATAGCAGCACTGTTGATCAAATACAATACATGCGTAAATGCAACAGATAAATGGGCATTCACACCATTGCATGAAGCTGCACAAAAAGGAAGGACACAGCTCTGTGCTCTTTTGTTAGCTCATGGAGCAGATCCAACCATGAAGAATCAAGAGGGTCAGACACCACTAGACCTGGCAACAGTAAGTTCATGTTGGCCTGCCAGCCACAGACTGCTCTGGAGGATTTGCTCTGCATGTTAAATGGTTTTCTATGGCTCCATGGCATCAGCGGTCCTCAGCTTTCGCTGTGCTGAGGTAGGGGGAGATGAGCATCTCCAGGGTGCCTGTTTGTGACTTTTTACCCATGGCTTTTTCCTGTGGCTGAGATCTTAATGTGGCTTGTGATTTTAAGGTTTGCTTGTGCTTAAGGATTCACTTCTGGGATCAATCTTCTCATTGCCAGAAATAAACCTATCTGAAATGTCCCCAGTGATGGTCAATCAGTGTAGTGTTGGTGATTACTTCTTTGAACCTAGGAGGAGAATCAGATGAGCCTTTAGAGGAATGGGATCATTTAGAGAATGCTTATGCTCAGTGCCTGCATATTACCTTGGTTCTTTTTTGACTGACTCCAAAACAACATTCTAAGATTTGCAAGTGGTTATCAAACTTTTTCTAAAACTGGCATCTGAAAATTTCTCATTAGTGGTGACTGATTAAAAAGCCTGATAAGATTACAGGAACATGTATGTCCCGGGTTAAACAGTTTTGATGGAATAGATAATGCAACCAAATAAGGTGCTGTGTCTGGTTATGGTATATTTTTTAAGACCATTGCTTGATTTGTGGAGAGTTCAAGAAATATCCTCTAGAATAATCTGAGCTCTGGAAAACTTGCTTTGTGATGAAAGATATGAAAACTATTTTATTTCTTTAGGAGAAGATAGGGATGTCTTAATCATGTTCTACAAGAACATGCAAGGAGGAAATTCTTGAAGATGAGGGTCTTGCTTAATTTAGTCAACAAAGGCAAAATCTAGGTGTTAGTTACGTTCATACTACCCCTGTAGCTCCTGTCTTTTTTTCTTCTATTTTAACACTGTAAGATGTGATTATAGCAAAGGCAGTGGTAGAGTCATTCTGTTGGAGCCTTCATCCAGTTCAAAGTACTTGACCAGAAGTTAAGCCTGATAGAGAAATTACGAGGTGGCATCGCCTGGCCTAGATTGTGAAGGATTTCAGATAAAGTTGTTGCATTGCACTTCCTGGCTGTAACACCTATAAAGTCATTCTTCCAGAAAGGAAATTAGATGTACCGTCTTACATACCTTTAGAAATGGGAAGAACCCGATTCACCTGTGTCTGAGCAGTGAATCAGAATGTTCTTGCAACCATGAATGCCTGTGTTACAAAAGTCGGCAGTTTTCTTTTTAGTGGGGGAACAGGGCAATCAATTCAAACAAATTCAAAGAAAAATTCTTTCCAGAGATCAGTGACTTATGATAATGGAACCTCACATTGAATGTTCTTTCTGTTTTTTCAGGCTGATGATATCCGAGCTTTACTGATAGACGCGATGCCTCCAGAAGCTTTGCCTACATGCTTTAAGCCTCAAGCTACTGTTGTTAGTGCCTCCCTGATCTCACCAGCATCTACGCCGTCCTGTCTCTCTGCTGCCAGCAGTATAGATAACCTCACTGGACCACTGGCAGAACTAGCTGTAGGAGGGGCATCAAATGCTGGTGATGGAGCAGCAGGAACTGAAAGGAAGGAAGGAGAAGGTGAATTTGCTGCTGGACAAGTTTACTTTGCATTACATTACAGAAGTACAATAGTTTAGTATCACAATAGGCCTCGCTTTATCTGAGAAGAATTTCTGACTAGCCATTAAATATTGTACAGCTTGAACTGCTATCTGCATTGTAAAGTGTCTGATGCTTGCCCTGTTTTCATGTGCTTTACCAGGAGCATTGTTGGCTGTTCTTCTATGTTTGCTATCAGTGATTAGGTCTGACTAAAAAGAGAGATCTGATTAGGTGCCCAGATGTTTGTTGTTGATTTTATGCAGAAAATCCAATGAGAATGACTTTGAGAATTATGATTGTGATGGCTGGGGAATTTTGCTAAGGCTTTTCAGACTCTTTAATTAGTATCTGGAACGCGTGCTTTATGTCAGCATTTAGGTGATTACATAGCAAAAATACACCCACTCTTCCTTTCCTTCTCTTTGCAGTATAAGCCTGTATTTGGCACAGATCATTTGTGCTTTTTAATAGTTGATTCTGAGGAGAGAACAGTAATGAGCTTTGCACTGAGCTTTCACACAGTGGGAGTGGATTGTTTGTTATAGGCATAGACAAATTGTAAAAAGCATCAGAGTTTGGAATTTTGAGATAATTTATTTTATTTATTCATTTATTTAAATTCAGGTGCATAAGATATGACTTGTTTCTTCTATTACAGTTTCTGGTCTTGACATGAACATTACCCAGTTTCTAAAAAGCCTGGGTCTTGAACACCTTCGGGACATCTTTGAGACAGAACAGGTAAGTGGCAAACTCCACCTCTGTTCATATGTTTAAAAGATAGAATAATCTAATAAACTTGAGTGACATTTTCATTCCCTAATTGCAAAAGGGAAACAAAGAAACCCAACTTCACATCTATAGAAAAACAAGCACATGCAAGAAAACTGCAAATGAGTTACCAAATACTTTATGGTGAAGTTGGGAAACCTGTGAAAATGTATTTTGTTGTTGTTTGGTTCAGATATCCAGTGTGTTTCACTTTCTTATGCATACATGATGACTGCCAGTTCGGCTTGTATTCTGGTAGTTACATTGGACCTTGTGAACTTTGAACGTGATGGCTACAACAAAGTTAGGCTGGAATGTCATTATCTGCACTTGTCCTTCAGCAGTCTTGATATCCAAACAAGCCTTTCACCACCCATAGTACTGCATGTGACACTCTGGTTAGATCTGGGAAACCCTCCAGTCCAACTACAAGCTGAAATAAAAATCTAGTTTACCAGGGTGTAGTCACACTAGAGAATGTAGAAACTACATTTTCTAGTAGGTTAGGACTATAGCATTAACTGGGTTTTGTAGGGCTAACAAGTTTCAACTGGAATTGAGAGATGGGGGAAAAAAAGTGCAGATTTATCAATAATTCACAATGTTTGAAAAGAATACAAATAATGTAACTGTTTCTCAAGCCTACATTACTTTTTGGAGTAGAAGTACCTCTAATGTATTTGTAGATGCTTCTTATGTACTGTTTCTCAAATTTAACATGTTACAGTTAAATAGGTCATTTGTTTGCATAAGTGAGATGGACACAGCTGTGGAAGTGAAAGGTACAAGTGCAGAAGAATGGATTTGGTGGTTATTTTTCCCCCAGGCCTCTGCTGCTAATCTTTTATGAGGGATCAGGAAACAAACACTTGAAATCTAGTGTGTTGCTTACAGAAAAAGTTGCAGCTGTTTCCATGAAATGTTACAGGAGGTATCTCCACAAAGTTAAAATGCCATGTAATCTTTTTTCCCTTCTTATATATGAAGCATAAGCTCTCTTCTTTAATTTGGAACAGCTTCTATTAAGAAGCAAACCAACCTATATTCTACTCACATCACACATGATGAATGTCTTCAGTGGCTTTTCCACTGCAAATCCCAGTGTGGTTGTTTTCTGCGCAGCTGGACATACGTTCAGTGTAGCTGTTAATTCCTTGCTTGAGTTGCTTTATTTTGAATTAATGACACTTAGTTTGTAGTGGACAGAGTTCATACCTGCAAGTCCAGTTGTGCTAACAATCCAACTTCTTTTGAATCAAGTTGTATGATTTCCCACTATTTGCTGGGCTTCCCATCATGTTTTGTTACCTTTCTGCTTCCACTGATAATCTCCATGACCTTGAAATTTAAAACTTTGTCAGGTGATTGTAGACGTATTCATATATTGCAATGAAATGAATAATTGTACGTGTCCTCACAATGTTGACATCTTGATTTAGCCCAGCTGGCAACTAAACGCCACATAGCTGCTCGCTCTTCCTCCCCCACCCCCAGGGGATGGGGAAGAGAATTAAAGGAGAAAAGGGAGAGAGACTCATAGGTTGAGATAAGAACAATTTAATAATACAGTAATATATTAATATATATAAGTATAATGATAATAATACATACAAGCAAGTGATGCACGGTATAATTTCTCACCACTCAGTGACCAAGGCCTGTGCTGGCTAGCGATCCCAATACAGATAAGTTCCAACACTGAGGTCTGGAAGGGGAGGAGGGAGGGAGGGGAGGGAGAGGGAGGGGCAGAGAGAGAGAGAGCACTCCAAGAGTGACAGCCCCTAGAAGAGCAAAAGCCCTTCTTTCCAGTTCACTTGTATCTTTGTACTGGGCATGACATTGCGTGATATGGAATACTTCATTGGTCAGTTTAGCCCTCAATCCGAGGTCTAAGTTCAAATCGTGAGAGTAGTTGTGAACCTTTTGTCCCAGCTATGCTGAAAAGTCCTTGAGGTCTCAGTGCCAACTATAAACATCAGTGCGCTGTCAACATTCTTCTCATAATGAGTCCTAGACTAAAACCAAAACACAGAGCTCTTCTAGCTGCTAAGAAGAACTAACTCTGTTCCAGCCAAAACCAGGACTGTTAATTATTTCCAAAAACAGTGGAATAGTTGAGCAGGACTCACCATAGCTGACCTACTGCGTTGATACATGTGCAAGTGCACACATGGATATATACGCATAGTAATAGCACACACCATATAATATTTATTGGTAAGCTTATAGAATATTCATTACTGTTTGTGTAGTGAAAATAATGAATTGCACAACAGTGTGAAACTTTGAATGCTTCAAAAATATTGCCAGATTTGTCCCAGCATTTCCATGCATCCTCCTTCCGCATAAGTAGAAATGTTTGTGAGAACCTCTGGTGAGAAGTAGAAGTTTTGCACAGCTTCAGGCTGCAGCAGCTGGGTCTGGTCCTGTGGCAGGGAGAGGCTTACCAGAAGGTGGCAGCAATTAGTGCAGCAAAACGTGAAATATGTGTAGTGTCTTGGTTGTAACAAGAGAATACATTCCATTTTCCGAACTGATGGGTCTTCAGCCTTGGGAATCGGGCCGGGTTTGGCAAGTGATTTTTGTGGTCTTTCATCTTTCCAGATAACCCTGGATGTGTTGGCAGACATGGGGCATGAGGAGCTTAAAGAAATTGGGATCAATGCGTATGGACACCGCCACAAATTAATAAAAGGTGTGGAGAGACTTCTAGGAGGGCAGCAAGGTAAATATGGCACTTCTACTGGTTAGTCTAAGTGTAGCATACAACAGGCTTTCAGAAGTCACCTTCTGTCAATACAGGCATTGTCACCAGGACTTGAAAGAATCTGGATGTTGGGAAAACATGCTTGTTGGCAGACCTGATGGCTGGGTGGGTTGTGACAAGTACAGAATATGAGGAGATGCAGGACTGAGTGATCACTTGACTTTCCAGGGAATGGACAGCCCTGAGGCAGCTATGGAGGCTGTGACCATTTCCAGGGACTCCGTTTCGCCCAGGCAGGAACTTTTGGATTGATTTGCCCTACCCAACCACGGGCCAGTTGTATTCTGAAGGGTGGACCTGATGGAGTTTTTTGCTGCCCCGCACTACTCAGATGCTTCTCTTGAAAGTGGAAACAAAATGCAATTATATCCCACCTGTGTTTTCCTTCTCTCTTTTAAAGCCTCTGCTGCTAATGGAAGCACTTTATCTTTTCAAAGTTGTTCTTCTGTCTTGTGTTTATTTTGCGTTTCCTGCTGTACTTGGGTTATTTATGAAGAGTAGTGATGATGCTGGATACAAATAGAGCTGGTGTTGTTTTCTCCTGTTGATTCTTATTCCTTTAATTCCTTCTCTTTGCAGGCACCAATCCTTATTTGACTTTCCACTGTGTGAGTCAGGGGACCATTCTCCTTGACCTTGCTCCTGACGATAAGGAGTATCAGTCCGTAGAAGAGGAGGTATTGCAACTACCTTTCTTAATGCTCCAGTGGCAGAGTATTTCTCTTTGCACTTACAACCTGTCAGAGCTAAAGCGTGCAATGCATGTTGAAAGTGATAAAATACGCTTTGGTGTATGAATAGCATAGGTCTGACATGAAGTTTAGGGCTCTTTGTTTGCCTTTTTATATAGAGCAATGATTGAAATTATTTTACTGTGTCCTGCCAGTTGTTTTTAATAAGTGGTCTGTTTGCTCACTTAGTGTTATCCCAATTTTGCTTTGTCATTGTTGTGTTTTGGATGATGTCTCATAGCAAGAGTTTCCCCAGCTTTCTGTACATAGGTGGACCTGTGAAAATCAAAGGCTGTGAGTGAAGACCAAGGGTTCAAGGCCTTGCAAGTCTGTAGGCATTCTCAGTGCTCAGGCTGTTGCTGCATGTGAACCAGCTTGTTTTCTCGTCTCAGTGGCTTAGTTAATCTGTAACCCAGATAAACAGCTCTTGGATAATTGAGAATTGACTGTAATTTTGCCTCCCACGCACACATGCTCTTTTATTTAAGTAAACTACAAGCAGATACCACTTTAAAAAAAAAAAAATCGTAACAGAAAAGAGACTTTCTGAAGAGTTGTGTTTGGAAGAAACTGCTTCTTACTGTGCATTTGCTATTCGTGTAGTGTTGCTGTGCTGTAGCACAGAAGTGTTTGGAGTCTTTTTTAAAAGTCTTAGATATTCAGGATTGCTGCCAGTTTAGCCTGGAATATTTTTGATTAGTAACTCTGTAAACTGGAGTTTGCACAGATCTTTTTTATAAACCTTTCTGACAGAAAGGGTCACTTGTCTTTCATAGTATATTGGGATATTTATTCGAGCTGTTACTAAATGTTATCACTGTAGCTATAAATACCTCTGGAAAAGACATGATGAAACCATTGAAATTCTCAGGGGCTGTGCATGACATAGGAAAATGCTTGAGCTGTAAATTTTTCTATCACTAAGAAATAGAGATTGTACTTATTATAATCACATTTGTTATTACTTCAAAATGATCTTTTTGTATTTTCATTTTCAAAGATTGTTTTTTTCTGATCTAAAGCTAGATTTTCTGGTTGTGTATAATTTTGATAGCAAGTGCCACTATTCTCCTTTCCTATGTAAATTTTTATTACAAGATCAGATAATTGCATCATCCAACTTCTCTCATTGTGGAACAGCAATAGCACATTGGATGCCTGAGAAATAAGAGTGTACCTCAGTTAAAATTGAGATTGTTTTTTTGACACCTTTTAATTAATTATCAATGAAGATTGTTGTTGCTGTTGATGTACTGAGACATTACATGAATACTTTGCCTTGCTAGCAAGCTTTGTGTGCAGAACATTCAGTTGTGTTCATTTATGTAGATGCAAAGTACAATTCGGGAGCATCGCGATGGTGGAAATGCTGGTGGGATCTTCAACAGGTACAATGTCATCAGGGTAAGTTTCAAAACCTCTTTATTCTATGTGGTAAAATAAGTTGGTACTTATGCAAGCAGGCAGAATTGCTTTGATGGATCACCCTTTTGTATTTAAAGTTCTTTGTTGGAATAATATTCAGGAGCAGAGTTAAAGCAAGTACTAAATGCTAAAATTAGATTGATCATGTGCTCTGCACATGCAATGAGGGAGAAGTGTCCACTTGTGCTCTTAGAGTCTGAAGAACTGATACTGAAGACAGAGTTGGTGAAGAGCCTGACTTGTGTTTCACAACCTGATTGATTTTCAAAGGTCTATAACTTCTGTATTTGACTTTGCAGCACAGTTTGTGTTTTTTTTTCTCTCAGTATAGTCTTTTCTTGCCTTTTTAAAGGATATTTTGGGGGAGGAGCAAAGGATGTGCATGACTTTTAACAAAAAGTTTCTATTCCATATGCTACTTTGGATCTTGACACCTTCTTCTTTGGCCCTGCCAACTGGAAAAATACCTTTTACAAGCTCTGGCGTATCAGAAAATGGGGTGTTGTCTTTCTGAGGGAAAGTACACTTTCCTGTTCCTTTTTTGAGGGAAGAGGAAATAAAGAAAATCAGAACAGAACTCGATTCCTGAGCTCCAGCAAAACCCTGCTGCGTATCTGGTTGAAAAGTGAGCCTGTGCAGAGCCTTTGGAACTTGGTCCACTAGTTCATATGTCCTGAAGTAAACTCTACTCCTAGCCAAAGGTGAAGTCCTTTGCTGAAACCACAGTGATATTAGATCATGTGACTGGAACGATATCTCAAGATAGATTAAACAGCACATCTCCTAATTGGTCAACACAGCTCAAAGCGGAGAGGAAAGGCGTTTCAGACAGTTCGTGGTTCTTAGTGGTGGTACAAGCTCTGAGGGAAGAAGCCTAAAAGTCTTCCTTAAACCTGAGAACTTAGACTGCGATTTCACAGTAGTTTTAATCTGTAAGCATGTGCTACTGACTTGTTTGAAAGACTGAAGCCTTGCATGTAGAACAGCCATGGGGTTTCTTTATACTGTTCATGGATCTTACATTTAGTTTCTCTGTCAAATTTATGCAAACTCTGTGAAACTATGTTCCATCTCAATTCCAATTAAAGTGTGGTTGGACCTGTTGTACCACTGCAGATTCAAAAGGTCGTGAACAAGAAGTTGCGGGAGAGATTCTGTCATAGACAGAAGGAGGTCTCAGAGGAGAATCATAATCATCACAATGAGCGCATGTTGTTTCATGGTAAGGAAGTGATCTTTATTTGTATGTACTGATATTTAAAAAAAAGCTTACAAGGACCCACAGGCCATGTTGCTGTGTTACCATCCTGTACAGTAATTGTGTTTCTGCACTAGAAACGCAGGGGTGTGCAGGTGGTGAAGTTAGTCTGTGTGGTTACTCAATCTGAAAAGCTACACTAAATAAAAAATATGTGGGTTTTTTTAAAAAACAAACAAACACACACACGCACACCCCCACGCTTTTTGCGAAGCTGTGTCTTAGCCATTTCCAGTAAAGCTGCTGGGAGGATGTTACATTGCTGTGAGAAAGACAGAGTATCTTCTAAAAGAGGAGAGCAGCACACAGTAAAAGCGTTTTACCCTGGCACTTCAGGAAACTATCAGGGAAAGGAATCAAAACCAACCATGAGTTTCAGCAAGATGTTCTCTGGAAGCATCCAGAAGTGCCTACAAATGACAGTTGCCTGAGGGTCCTCCTGTCCTACATCCTTCTGTGATTCCGTGTAGGAAATTGGTTTTAGATATGATTGTCCTGACATCTTGCCCCTTTTTAACTAGTACTGACTGCTGGAGAAGGTGTGCATTGACAAGATAAATTGCGCTGAAATGTGAGTGGGGGAAGCCATTTAATGAGATCTGTGAAATGAGTAAGAAATATGAGTCACACGTGGGATCTTGGTATATAACGATAAATCCCACACATCACTGCATCCTGCTGGGTATCATCCCCTTCCAGCTGACTGAGCATGCTTTCTGGTATTTAATGGTCTATTTAAGGCAGACAAGCTCCTCTTGACCTAGAGTCCTGTATTACTGTAGAGCTTAACAAGGGTGTATGATAACACATCATTTCGTGTCATTCTGTTCTAGGGTCTCCATTTATTAATGCTATCATTCACAAAGGATTTGATGAAAGGCATGCATACATTGGAGGAATGTTTGGAGCTGGAATTTACTTTGCCGAGAACTCCTCAAAAAGCAACCAATATGTGTATGGGATAGGAGGAGGAACAGGCTGTCCCACACACAAAGACAGGTCCTGTTATATCTGCCACAGGTATGAGTCCAGCAGAGTTCCCTGCACATAATTCTGACTGTCCTGGTTCTTGCGATCCTAGCACAGGATGACTTGCAGGCAAAGAATAGCCACTTGAGCTTGGTCACGGCAGGAAAAATGCAGCTTTCCATTTGTCAAGGCTGAAAAAAAAGGATATAAATGCAGCGAGTCTCACAGAAAGGTCAAACATTACATCTAAGCATACAGTGAGTATAAATCAAAGTGAATTGTGGCTCAGGAAAGAGGCTTGAAACAGCAAGTTTGGAAATTAAAAGTCAGAGGAAAATAGCAATTAAACTCCAGACACTCTCACAGCAGAACTGCAGCGCAAAGTGGTGGTCAGCAGTGCAGTGTTGTACCATGGATCAGATAATTTTGGAGGTAGTGAAAAGGACTTAATCACGGCTTTGTTTTGTGCTGGAGCAGACTGACGTGCTTTTTGCACTTTGACATCTGTCCATACCGTGCTGGTAGGAACACAGAGAGAGTTTCAGCTGCTTTCCACAGCTTTATGTAAAATGACCTAGAACAGACCTCTATGTGAGGGCTAAAGAAAGTATGTTTTCTCTTCTGTGTGTCAAGAAAGATTTATTATTTTTTTTGTGACAGGTTTTATGCAGCCTTAGAACTGGTTTCTAAAAGTGTTTCTCACAAAAGCCTTGAGAAATTGTTACAAAATAAACTCAAAAGTCTGAAAAATCCTTCTGGAAGCATACAACTCCTAGTAAGATATTTTTAAATGATGTTTTCTTTTTTCCTTTCAGACAAATGCTCTTCTGTAGAGTGACCCTTGGAAAATCCTTTCTTCAGTTCAGCACAATGAAAATGGCACACGCCCCTCCAGGGCACCATTCTGTTATTGGCCGGCCAAGCGTGAATGGACTTGCATACGCTGAATATGTTATCTATAGAGGAGAACAGGTATGTGGGTTAGCAAGGACTGGCTTTGTGGAAGGGCAGAGCTTGGTGCTGGAGAGGAGAGATATGACTGGTTTCCGTACCAGGCATGCTGTCAGAACCTGGTTGATTGATTTTTTTCATTTAATGTGGAAATAAACAGTGAACTGTATCAAGCGAGCAAATACTACTCCTTTCCACTGAGCTGTCCTGATGTACACCACGCAGAATTGCCTAATTCCCCCTGTGCAGCACTGCTAGAGTCTGTTAAGAGCTGTAGTTTGTCTCAGGAGACACCAGTTCTCCCATTGCATTTTACTGACATTACTGCAGCAACAAGAGCATGTGCGTTTCTGGGGCTCTGGCAGATAATGAGGATTCTGGGCTTTTTACCTGTAGATTCCCAGCAGCATGAGTGTCCCTGTCTGCCAGAGACTGCCCTTAAATGGCAGCTGAAGTATCACAGCAATCTTCAGGAGGTGATTTTTAATCTGAAAAACTGAGCTAGACCCTTACTTTGGAAGGATGACTCCAAGATTATATAGTAAATTCAGGTTGGAAGGAACCTTGGGGAGGTCACCTAGGCCAGCCTCTTGCTCATGCTGAATTTACACCAGCTTGCTGAGGGCTTTCTTTGACCGGGCAGGTCTTGAAGGCCTTGGGGAATGGTGTTTCACAGCCTCTCTCAACAGCTTGTTCCTTTGTTTAATTATCCTCAGAGCAAAATACATGCTCTTTGTATCCAGTAGGAACCTCCCCTGTTTTATTAATCTCATTCTCTTGCTGCGTAGCTCAGAAAGAAATCTGGCTCTGTTTTCTCAGCAGCCTTCATTACGTGACTGCTACGAGGTCCCACAAAGCCTTTCCTTCTCTGAACTGAACAAGCCCATCTTTCTCAATCTCTTGTTTATCCTGTGCTCTCTCCCTCTGACTGCCTTCTTGGTCCTTCGCTGAACTTAGCTCCAGCTTGGTGTCATCTTTCTTGTATTGGAGGGCCCAAAAGTTGTATGCAGTTGTCTAGATGTGGTCTAGTGAGTACTGAATAAAAGGCAATCCTTACTACGCTCAGTTGATGGGCTTTGCTGCTGTTGATGTACCACAGGATGCTGATAGCCTTTACTGCTGCCAGGACACACTGTTCCTTCTGCTTTAGCCTGCTGTCACCCAAGGGCCCCCAGCACCTTTCAGCAAGGCTGCTTCCCATCCTGCAGTGTTACAAGGAATTAGTTCATCCCAGGTGCATTTGCTCTTGCTGGATTTCATGAGGCTTATGTTGACCTGGTCTCCTCTCATCTGTCTGGGTTCCTCTGAACCAGGCCCTGCCCTCCAGTGACTTTAGCTTTGCTCTGGGACTGAACCTCTGACCAGCTGTCTCGAGAAAACACTGGACAGCCTCCTGGGTTACGTGCTTCGGGTGTGCCAAATATTTTACTGCCAGTAAAGGCATTTGCAGGTCACATGGCAACTCAATGAGCATTTTAGGGTCAGACTACATTGGTCATCTGAGATTTTTGAATAACTTACAGGCACAGACTGATCTGTAGGACTAGCTAACAAGGAGGGTAACTCTGATTGTGAATTCCTGTTGCAGACCATTTTCTGGCAGTGTCTGCATGGAAGAAACTTCTTTCTGTTAGTGTGTTAACTAGTGTTATCTACCTCGAGCGGTTCCCACTTAGTGCTGGCTGGGTTTGAAATATCCTTTTTCTTTTGCACTTGGCAAACACAGAGCTGATTCTTGCACTGCACTTCCTGATGGCTGTGACCTTGCTGAGCGTACCCTTGCATAAAGCAATGTGGTTTTTTTCTTGACTTAACTTTCAGGCATACCCGGAATATCTCATTACATACCAGATTGTGAAACCAGAAGCTCCCTCACAGACAGCAACAGCAGCAGAGCAAAAGACCTAGTAGCTACAGAGCAATGAAGAAGGATGTGACTTCAATCTTGGACTGGATGGATACGTGTTTCAGAAAATCAGTATCATATAAAATCCTTAACAACCTGGAAATAAGCTGTGTGTCTTTTATAAAGCATTGGTGTCTTGATGAATACAATATGAGTAACTCTTGCATACTCAACTGCTATTGTTCCTTTTGAGGAAAGTTTACAAGGGACTGCCTTTTAATAACATATCTCAGGCTCCTGGTCTCTGCAGTTACCATGTGTAAAATAATGTTGTTTTGATCTAGACTTTGGGAACATTATTGTGCAAACAAAAATCTTTATCAATGCTATCTCACATGTTAAAATTTCAGACACTACTATTCTAGTTATTTTATTTGCAGATAAATTGCATTAAGCCCATAATGTTCTTTTCAGCATACACCATTCATTTTATGTTTTCAAGAGATCCTAGTCAACTATTTATTTTCCTTTTGTATTCTGAAGTTGAGCCAGAACCACCTTAAAGATATTTTGCACAAAGTCGGTTTGACTAAAATCATTAACAATGCAATATGAATTTCATCTGAGAAGGGGCTAGGTCCAGTTCTTCAATATAGGGGTTTTTTTGCACACCTCTGAGCAAGAGATAATATGAGTGAGTGTAACTTTGGAGTGGAAACAAATTGTGTCAGTTCACTGCTTTGTCTGAGATTTCTGGGGGGAAGCCCTAGGAAGTGTTTGCAAGGGTAAAAGCAGCTCTTGTGCTTGGAAGAACTTCATCAAGCAGGTCAATGCCCTCTGCTGGCATCTCTAAAAGAACCTTTTATAAGGCTCCTATTAAGTACATGCAGTTTGTGAAATGTTCTCCAGTTGCAGCGGCATATGGTTTTGCTGGGAGATAGCAGGTGAAAAGTCAGAAGATTGCATACATGCGGACATATCTTGTTCGTGTCCTTCTGTTAAATGAGACCCAGTAAATGGGTTTCAGACTGGTAAGGGAGAGTGTGTTATAGCTGTTTTATGTCACATCTTTGTGTGTGACATCACAGTCGAAGAGCTTAAGGGTTTTACAAAAATAATAATTTTTTAAAATATCGATTTTACATTTTGATGAGAACGAACTTTTAAAACATCGACTGGCAAGTGGATTTGTTTGCAGGTATACCAGAGAACAAAGCTAGGCTTTGTTCGCTCTAATCCCCTTCCCTGCAAGTTCCCTGGCTTATTTCACTGGGTAGCAGAAAGTCATTTTTAAGCATTGCATAGCACAGCATCAAACAATTTCAGAAGTCCTCCCTCATGGAGGGTATGCATTTAACAAAACTAGAAATCTACTGCGTTTTTGTGTTGTTTTTACATCTTCAGAGAAGGTTTAAATTTGAGTCGTGTTATGTTTTTTCTTAACAACTGATACCAGGAGATGTGCTTCAGTGTTGAGCGTGCAATGACTGGAGAAAACAACGTTCCTTTGAACATGACATGCTGTACATTTCCCTGTCACCCAGCACTAATTAGTATCTGATGATCCAGTTCATGCATTTGGGTTTTATCCCCCTTAAAGCAAGGAAACAACAGAATAGCGTGCTTTTAGTTTACAGAAATATAGGCGCTCCCTGCGCAAGTGGGATTTTGCTGACGTTTGGGTAAAACAAACTTAAACCTGAAGAGCTTTTCACTTTCAGTGTTAAGACACAAGATTTTAATTTTTAACGTTAAGACATTAATGTCGAAGCAAGTTATCCTCACAGAGGAACTTCACCCACTGTAAAATCAGTCATTTGATGCAATCTGGCTACCTGCACATCATCTGTTTGTAATATCTCTAAAGAAAACCTTAGAAATAGCAATACTCCAAAAGATTGAACTTTGGGTTTTATTTTTCTTGACCTGGCAGTGGATATATGGTTCATGCTTCATTTTGTGACCTAATTAAATATGTAGCTTTGAAGTCCAAGCCAGGCTCTAGCCTAGTTGTCCTTTTAATCAAATTTCGTTGATAAAATCGGGTGCTTGTATTTTGGCTACTTGTTTAATAGTGTTAGGATTGCAAAGATCACCACTAGGCTTTGAAGCTTTGTATTCATCATTTAAGTTTGGGGTTTGTTTTTAACTTAGTTAATAATGGAGTGAGGGGATGTGCCTATCTACACTAGTGTTTCAGATAGCGGTGAGAGTGAGTGTTGCTCACCATCCCCAATTAGACATAGTTTTAAATGGTAAAACAGTTGTGCTGCTTAGGTGAGCAAAATGGTTAATGTGGGTGTGGAAGTTAAAAGCTTTACATCTTTCAAGACCAAGAACAAACCTAAAAGCAAAAACCCCCACCAAGCCCACACCAGATTCTGTTCTTGCTTGTTGTTTCCTGTGTGCTGATTGAACTAATGGCTAGTCTGGATTTCTTCTGCAGCCTTGAACTTCTAGAGGATAAAAATACTGTCCAGTATCTTTGAACTGCCAGTGTTGATGTATCTGATGTTCTGTGCAGAGTAAAGGTGCTGTGTGAGGAAATCATTTTGCAGTGGTTTTTGTATTGTAATGACATGACCTCGTATCTGTTTGTGGCCAGACACAGAGGAGTACCCAGGCCTGATGATGCATCTGTGCATCGTAGAAACCTGTGCAGGAGTAGCATCCTCCTCTCCTGGCGTATGTTGTTGTAGCTCCTCTTGCAGTTTAAAACAAAGTGAGGATCTGCCTATCAGTTTTGAAGTTACCCATGAAAAAGCTGGTCGTGGTTTTGATGGTAGAGCTGCAGTTGGCAGGTTGTTACAGTACAGATGCTGCTGTTTTAGCTGAGGGAGTTGACTTGATGCCTCCTAATAGTAGAGAATGGGACCTTTAAAATAGCACACCCCCATATCCAGGCAGCTGCTGCCTCTTGAGAAATGAAGATTTTCGACTTCTCGAGAAGGGCAGTCCCCTGATAATGAGATGATCATTTGCAGTGTTGGGTCACCAGTGGAGGCAGGTAGGAACTGAGGATGCAAGAAGACACTGGGCTAAGCCCTCTTATAGGCTGGGCAGCCTGGGCACGCTTGCTGGCTCCAGAAAGAGCTATTCCCATTGGGACAGAACTCCATGAGACAGATGAATTGGGTACCTGGCGCAGAGTGACATTGCAGTCTGAATGCTGTCAACAGAACTTCTGGTAGGATTAAAAGCAGAGAGTACATTACCTTAATAAAGTGTATCTTATTTTCTCATCTTGATTTTTATCTGCCAATCTGTTTTGATCCCAGCTCCACGGAGATTGTTACAAACCTTTTGTCTAGTTCCACCATTTTGCGGTCCCTATCAGTCTGTAGTCCAAGGAATGAGCAATATCTTTCTCTAACCTCTGTTTTGAGTGTTTGCATGTGATATGATTGAATCCCGCTGCGTTATGCAG